AAGGAAAAAACAGAGTTAACGTTTCGGGTCCGGTGACCCTTCTGCAGAGGCTTGAGGAAGGGTCACTGGACCCGAAACATTAACTCTGGTTTTTCCTTCACAGATGCTGCCAGACCTGCTGGGCTTTTCCAGCAACTTTGTTTTTGTGCCTGATTTACAGCATCTGCAGTTCTTTTGGTTTTTATTTAATAATATTGGTATTGTATTAGATCTCTAAGTTGGTCTGATTGACTTTTTCTGAGCACAGGAACAGAGGGGGCTCTGTGGCAAAGTGTCCCTACCTCTAGGACAGGAGGCTGGGTTGAAGTCCCAACTACTCCAGAGGTGTGTAACCACAATTTTGAACAGGTTGATTAAAAAAAATCTATAACCTTAAGGTTAGAACAAACCTTAAGGACATGAAAAGGCTGGAGGAAATCTGAAATGTTGAAGGAGCACTTTTCAGGGAAGCAATGTCCATTACCACATAGCAAACTAATCAGCGGAAAAAACCATCTGGTCCATTAATCTCACCATGGGTAATGTTGGCTGAAGCATTATGATTGATGGCAGGGCCTTGTTTTTCCTCAAAGTGGGGTGGGAAGCCACAGTCCTGCCTTTGCCTCCAGCTCCCACACTTTGCATGGCCCTCATCCTGTGATTCCCTCCCAACTACCTTGTCCGCTGCTCCAGAACTTCAGCATTGCTGTGCAGCCAGCAGCCTCCACTTCTGAAATGGCATAGTTACTCACAATGGATGCCAGCCTCTGATTGACCAACAGGTTCAGGTCAGGCAGGAATATTGCTGTCCAAGGAAGTGATGTACCAAAATGCCCACCAGCTGACCACTTTCCAGTTTGTGGTGGTTGCTGGGGCGGGGGGGTGGAAAAGAGGGGTGGCATATCCTTTGCATATTGTGCCTACCCTCACAGTTTGAAAAGATATTGGGAAATCATGGCAAAGTATCACAAAGAGTTCTCCGTAGCCTGAATGTTCAAGTGCTGAGTTGTAAGCTGAATATGGTGGACATTAGAGAATGTTGTGGACACACTGATCTTCAGATCATCTAGAAATACAATAAAACAGTGGGAGACTCTTCAACCAAACTGTATTGTTTGACCTACTGGTAATTTGCTTGTAACTGAACAACTCATGTTAATCCATCATGGTTTCACCTTCATTAGATTAGATTTCATGATGTAGTTTCTCGAAGTAATGGGCCAAAAGATTCTTATCCTCTCTTTTCAGGAGAAGATAAAATGGGAAGGCGATGGCCCAGTGATATTATCACTAGACCCAGATAATGCTCTGGGGACCAGAATTCAAATCCCACAATCGTTGAATTTAAATATCTGGAATTAGTAGTCTAATGACCATGAAGCCATTTTGACTGTTAGGAAGAACTCATCTGGTTCACTAATATTATGGAGATAGCAAGAACTGCAGATGCTGGAGTCAGAGTCAATGCTGTATGGAGCTGGAGGAACACAGCAGATCAGGCAGCAGAGGACTCCTGATGAAGGGTTCCGATCTGAAATGTTGACTTTCCTGCTCTTCTGATGCTGCCTGACCTGCTGTGTTCCTCCAGCTCCACACACAGTATTTGTTCACTAATGTTGTTTAGGGAAGAAAACCTCTGGCCTACATGTGACTCCAGACCCACAGCAATGTGGTTGACACTTAACTGCCCTCTATTGGGGTTGGGTAATAAATGCGGACGTGGGCAGTGATATCCACATCTTGTGAATGAACAATTTAAATGAGATCACACAGCACCATTTCAAAGAGGAGTAGGGGAATTCTCCCCAGTGCCCTGGTCAATATTGATCCCAGAGGCACAATCACTAAAACAGTTTCATAAGTATTTTATCTTATTGCAGTTTGTGTAAACTTACTGTTCACAAATTAATTGTTGTGTCTCCATCACAAAAAGACTGAATATATTTCAAAGGTGCATCATTGGCTGTAAAACTCTTTGCAAATTGCTGAGGTCTTGCAAGATGCTTTACATATGTAAGTTCTACCCTATTTTTCATGTCAGTAACCTCTATTCTCACTTTAGTTTTAGTCATAGGCCTTTTTCACATTGATCTTCGTTGTGGAGGACAATGGTTAGATCTCTGCACACAGTTTTCTGGACTCCCAATAGTAATCATAACATTTGGAATCACAATTTCTCAATGTTCAACTTCATTTGAATTTATGGAGTTTGAAGAGCCTGTTCTAAATCCACTTTACGTTTCTAATCTAGATCATTTTGATATACATCTCCAAACTCCAGTTTACCTCAACTATCAAAAGACATTTGTGTTTGAATTAAATGACTTGTTCCACCAACATCCCCAGCTTCCTGCCTGCCTGACATTAAAACTTCTTTGCATATATTCTGAGCCAGTGCATCAAAACAGACTAACCAATTTATTTTCAATGACTCATTCATGGGAAGATGAATATCACCAGCAAGGCCAAAATTTGATAGCCAACCTTAATTGCCCTTGAGAGCAGTTAACAATCAATCACATCACTGTACATCTGGAGTCATCTATAGATTTCCTTCCCTCAAGGGCATTAATGGACCAGATGGGGCTTTATGGCAATTTAAAGTAGTTTCATAGTGAATATTACTCTGACTAGTTTTCAATTCCAGTCTTTTTAATTAATTGAATTTTAATCATATCATCTGCCATTGGATTTGAGCATTAGTCTGGGCCTCTAGATTAATAGTCCAGTGACATCATCATGATGACACAGTCTCCCCTATCAGGGAGTTAAAAAGTAGGTTTACTCTGGGTACAGTGATAGTGAGACAGAAACTTCACAGGAGTTTTACCAAATTAAATTTGTGCTGAAGATAAAAAATTAGATATTAACTTTGATACAGGGGTAGGAATAAGGAGTAGATTAAAGGAAAAGAGAGAGAGGCAGAGGAATTCAGGGAGGTAATCCAGGATTTAAGATCTGGACATGTAGGAATGTTACCATCAGTGGTGTAGCAATTTAATGTGGGGATGCACAAGACCAAAAATGAATGAACAAAGAGAATTTGCTTGACTGTTGGGCCGGAGGAAGTAACTGCTAGGGATGATTAAGGCATGAAGAGATTTGCCAGATGTGCAGCAGTATGAAAAAACACAAGTCAATTTAAATTGTCAAATATTATTATAAAAAGGCATCACACACCATTTGTGAGATGTAAAACTTTTAGTTTTTCTTAAGAATGAACACAATACAGTAACATACTGTAAAATATTCCAATGGGTCTTCAGATTTGACTTTCAAATTTACTTTGTAACATAACTCAAAGCAGCAAATCACTTCTGTGAGATTAGTCAGGACATAAACGAGTAATAGACATGTTACCCAGAATCCTTCATTGACTCATTTGCAAGTTAAGGAATCATTTTTCCAGAATTTGCAAGATGGAAAAATTTGCCAGCTAGCCACAGTGAATCTATACAAAAAGCGTAACAGCTGTACTATCGTGAGATGAAGGAGTTCAACTGTGTTTCCTCTTTAAATGAACATCATCACCTGCCAAATGGTTAGAAGATTGGGAGCTCACAATGAGGCATGAGGAAAATGTTTCAGCCCTTTAAATTACATCGTTGGATCATTGCCTTCACTGTGACATATCTGCAGGATTTCCTTTGTCCTGGTTCTGCATATGGTCACCAAAATAATTTGGTTTGAAAAATGCTCCTTCATTTCAAGAGAAATGAATTGCAAATGATCTCTAGAAAACTGTTGTAAATGCAATTGATGCTAATTTGCACCAGCAAGAGCAAATCAGACTAAGGCTGATGTAAAGGTTAACACTGTCATTTTGAAAGGAACATCTGAGTTCAAAGTGCCTCATCATCCATTCCTTTCAATAATGCCCATGAGTTGTCATCCTCAGTTATTTTGTATTTCCACATTAACTTCATATGGACTTTGGGTGTAGGCACTTAAACCAGACCTTAAACTTTAACTAGTGTGAATGAACTGATATAGACACAGGCTAAAGTTGGAAACTTTGACACAAGAGACATTACTTTACAGTGAATTCAAAACAAAAGAGATGCCAGGGTGGGGGTGGGAATGGCCTTCACAGTTACGGTTGACAAATAGAGTCCAAGCTCTGATCTGCATTGTCATGTCGGAGAGTTGAGCTCCCAACTGGAAATGAATGCAAGAACAAGCCTGTACCCTATCAGTCAGTATACTCAGGTTCCTGTGCATATCATGAGAAAGTAGAAGGCAATGTCGCGCAGAGTGATGGTAGTGCTAAGTATCTCCAACACATGTCACATATTCACAGTCCTTATTAATACTGCTATCAAACATGATCTATTAGTTGACAATTAGTCTAAAGGTGTGAATGTAAAAGCAGTCACTCAACATGCTCTTCTCACAACAGTTGCTATGTGATTTAGACATTATTTATCCTATCCAGTTAAAAATCTATCATTAATTGTCTAGTTTTACTGCAAATGGTAGAAAAGTCTTGTGACATAATGCAGTCCTTCTACCCAATCAAAGATAACGTAGGAGCAATGATTTCCATTTAGTTCTATCCTATTCCCACTCCTATCTAACCCAAACTTAAGAAACCATGCCAATCATTCTGACTGGTAGTTTAATAGAAAGGAAACTGCATGCACAAAGCTGAACTACCTAATATTTAAGGGTAGGTTCACAGATAAAATACAGTCATAGAAAATCGTAAAATACTCTTGTATGAAGATATGTCCAAGGACATACCTTCCATCATTTAATAGACTGGGCTCTTTACTCCTAAAAAGAGAAGACATGCAGATGACCTCATAGAGGTCTTTAAAATTGTGAAGGGCTTTGATTAGGGGTAAGCATAGATGATAATTTGGACTTGTGAGCTAGTCCAAAGCTAAATGGAGTCCTAGAGAAATTTCTTTACTCAGAGAATGTGGAACTCACTAATGCAGGAAGTGAGTAAGGCAGATAAAATAACTAATTGTAGGAGAATCTCAAGTTTATGAAGGACAAAGAAATAGGAGGACAAATTAGTTGAGGTCACAGGGTTACATGAAGTAATATGGAGTGTAGCTTGTAGGGTTCGCTTTGCATTTCAATTGCATGTCCAGTAACCCAAAGAGAGTGATTGATGATATTGGCTGTTCCTGGAACATCTTAAGCCCTTTTAAGGGGCAGCTATCACTGCCATTTAGCAGTTTGTTCACGGCCGGACAGTGGTATTGGTATATGTTCAAGTGTGAATCTCTGTCTCTTCTCAACCACCTTCTCTATGTCCACCTCCATACTCCTCTCCAAAAGAAAATCATCTCCAAGTGATTGACTCATAAAATTATGGGATCTTACAGAACAAGAGGTGGCCATTCAGCCCATTATGCTGGTGCAAGCTCTTTGAAAGAGCTATCCAATTAATTTCAGCTCCAGTCCCTTTCCCAATGGCCTTGCAAATTTTATCCCCTTTAATTAGATATTTAAGCCTCTACTGAAAGTTACTATTCAATCTGTTTCAATAGTAGCAGATAGTAATAGAGGAATCTTTTCAGGAAATACTTTCCTGAATCATTACAATCATTATCAAATCATTACAAATCTTCAAGCCTTTTTTAAATCCTGACACTTCTCTGGTTCTGTAGTTAATTACTTAAATTCTACAACCCTAGTCACTGACTTCCCTGCCAACTTCTCCCTATTTGCTCTGCCAAAACTCCCAATGACGGTTATACACTTGAATTAAATCTTCCTTCAATGTTCTCTGCTTGAAACAGAAAAAACACAATTTCTACACCTCTCCTGAAAATGCAAAATTTCACAACCATTTCCACTCAGTCTATTCAACACCTCCAGGACCCCGACCCAGTTTTACACTCTGGCAAACAAGCTTCACTCCATATTACTTCATCCAACCCTGTGACCTCAACTAATTTGTCCTCCTATTTCTTTGTCCTTCATAAAGTTAAGATTCTCCTACAATTTAGTTATTTTATCTGCCTTACTCACTCCCTGAGTTAGTGAGTTCCACATTCTTTGAGCAAAGAAACTTCTCTAGGACTACATTTTACCCAAAAGGTTGTGCTCAGAACAGGACACAATACTCCAGTAGGGTCTGAACTAGTGCTTTATAAACTTTTAGTATATCTTCCTTGCTTTTGTACCCTTGATGAAGGATGTGCAAGGCAAAGCAGTACTATATTTTAAAGTTTTAGATGGATACTTATTTAAGGTGTAACCTGAGGTGTATAGTTTTTCCAGGAGGGCAGTGGAATGCTAGTAAAGCACTTAGATATTATAATCAAGGATCCAGGAGAATCATGGGTCTTGATACGTATAGGGAGATAGTGAGTGAGTAGGGAAGCATACTCATGAAATCGACCAGCTCCTGGTGAGAAAACAAGATGTAATGGCAAACAATTCCTTTCCCCCTACTTCATAGCTGGTCCCTCCTGAATTCAACCGCTCTTGCCTCCTTTAAGCTACTGTGTTTCCCAAATCTTGGGAAGACCATATAGGAGGTGTTGATTTCAAATCACTGCCAAAGTATCAGGCTGGGAGCCCTATTTGAATATTGTCATGAGAGAATGGCTCACCTGGGAACTCTGATATTGACAGCAGTTAAAACAGGAACTGATATGTGAGAACTACCCGTTGGATTCGGGTTTGCAACTGAGGTAATTTCATCCCCCTCCTCCCCTCAATTATCCTCCCCTCCCATGTCATGGGATCAGGGGTTTAAAATACTCCCACAAAAGGTTTGATTGTTGCACACTTGATTTTTCATGACAAAATCCACTTTCTTCGGTTAATATGGAATCCAGGAGGAGATTTCTATGGCATTGCAAAAAAGATGAAGGGCGTTCAGAAACAAAACTTCTTTGGCTGCTTGTTTTGTGTAAAATAGCCCATCATCAAATGTTCTGCTTCTGCCCCTATTAAGTTCTAACTTTCTCCATTAGTCAATCCTTGTCGGATGGTTTTGGTTGTTGTCCACAAGAACTCTTCTGTTCTGTTGCCCATTACAATGGTGCAATATCATCGAATGCTTTGTCACTTGGAATTTCTGTGGTTCCCTTGGTGTACTCTTCGGTTTTTTTGGCAACACCAAGATTAGAACAACGGCGATGATATGCAAACTGAAGTACCAAGTCCTAAGGAGACAAAACAAAGAATCTGAATTAATAGAATCATTTAACATTTGGCCCATTGTGTTCCTTTTGACTCTAGGTAGAAGTACTGAGCAATGATTCAAAACACATTGTCAATGTGGAGGCCAGAAATGCAGCGATATTCCTATCGGGAGTGAATGACACCCATGTCTGCTCTTTTTCTGGAATAGAGAAGACTGAGGGGTGGTGTAACAAAGGTCTTTAAAAGCATGAAAGGTTTTATTAGAGTAGACACAGGGAAAGTGGCCCTAGTGTTTTGCTCTCAAGACAGGACATTTCCTGGCTCAGCAAATCTGGCCTGGGGAAAAGGTTTGATTTTCTTTCTAGGGTGGTGGGGTTCCCTGGGAAGTGAGCTGGGCGAGGCTGGAATGAGAGCAGGGAATGTTGGCTGGGCATAAGGCCAGCTTCCCTATATTGACATATAAAGCAGTTTAATAAAAAGAATAAAACCAAAAACATCCCTCTGAACTTCACCTTTCATACCTTGTTGCCCACCTCACACACTCCCCATATCGTAGCCATGCCAAGTCCATGTCATTTCAACTCTCCTTATGCCACCATATACCCCTCTATTTATCTTTATGGCCTTTCAAAGCCCCTATGCCACTTATATACCTCCACTCATCCTTATGTCCCTCAAAGTCCCTATACCTTCCCAAGCCCCTCTACTCCTATTTATGATCCATATGCCCCTCTGCTTATCTTTATGGTGCCTATCCTGTCTTATGCTCCTCTACTCATTCTTATGGACTCTAAAAGCCCCTATGCCTCTCTCTGCCTTTCCATTAATCGCAATGCCCCTATGCACCTACAGTTCTGAAGTCACCAACCCAGCCCTTTTTGGCTGCTACGCTAGACAGTGAGGAAAGACCGGAGGAAGATTCAGCAGAACATAAATGGCAGCATTGAGAGTTTGGATGTTGTGGGCCTGCTCTTTCCCTAAAACCCTGCTATTTTAAATATATAAGTGAATTCCCTGTTGAAAATTCCCTGTTGAATTTGCTTTCACCACTGTTCCAAGCAGCGCATTCCAGATCACAATAACTCCGTATTAAGAGCAAAAACCTCCTCATCTAACCTCTGTTTTTTTGTTTGGCATTTATCCTAAAATTACAGCTACAGAAGCAAAGAAGAAACATTCCTGACATGAACTGACTGACCAACAAGCAAAATGGCCAGGGAACACCTAACTGCGAGATTGGAGCAGTGGCTTATCATCTTGCCCATTTTCTCAAGAGTCCAGCTCCCATTCAAAAATAAGTGAAATACAGAATTAACTGTTGACAGGTAAATCAGGTAAAATTTTAAAGTTATTCCATCATGGCAGGACAGTGGAGAAGACAATTGAGCAATGGTAATACTGGACTAGAAATTCAAGGCCCTGGAACTGCTGATTCCAATCCCACCACAACTAGTGGAGATTTAAATTTAATTAATAAATCTGAAATCTTGGTAATGGTGACCATGACAATTATCATCAACTGTTGTACTAACCAACCTGGTTCATTAATGCCCTTTTGTGAAGGAAAAAATCTGCCATCCTTACCTGGTCTGGCCAGGCTCCAGGCTCACAGCGATGCAGTGGACTCTTAACTACTGTCTAGAACTGCCTAGTGAGCCATTCAATTCAACAGCAATAGGGACGGGCCACAAATATTGACATCATCCCACAAGCAACATCCCACAATGGAATAAGATAGATCCCCTCATTGCTAACTACTTTACCATTTATTAACGACAAGGTCTGACGTGACCCTATATTACATGTTGCTATCCCCGATACGAAGATGAGGAACATGAATAACAAATCATTTTGAGTTATTTTGTTAGTTTAACTGATTTACTCACCTGTAAAACTCGAGTGATGAGCTCAGAAACGGAAGGACAAATGGTACCACAGTGTAACTCACAACCACCTGCGTTGTTGCCCATGTCATCACGTCATAGAATGTCTTGCAAGTTGGTGAAACGAGGAAGTAAGGCCTCAAATTATTTCTAACCTGCATGCATCCAAACACACATGGGAAAACATTAAAATCCCCTTGAGTAAAAGATACAGGTTAGCTGTGATTTAATTAAGTGGTGAGATACAAGGGAGAATGTTCAAGTGACTCTTTTTTTCTACATTCAGAGAACTTTCCACTCATCCAATCCTGTATTCCTTATATTCATTCAGTACCAGCTGAGAGTCCTAAACGTCTCCTCTAACTATCTCTCCTTCTTCAAGATGCTTCTTAGAAATCTATTAATTTAACCAAGCTTTTAGTCACGTGCCCTACTATCTCATCATGTGTCAGATTATGATTGATAATCACTCCTTTGAGGGGTCTTGGGACACTTTCCTATGCTACAGGTGCCATACAAACATGGGTTATTCCTGTCATTCTTTTACTCCTAGTTAATGCACTGTTGGATTTTTTTTGCTCATCCCTAATTATCTTCAAGAATGTGGGAGTGACTTGCCTTCTTGCATTGCTGCTGTCCATAGGGATGGGTACGTCCACAGTGTTAGGGAGATTTTAATTCAACAACAGTAAAGGAATGGCAATATAACTCCAAGTTAGAGCAGTGGGGGGCTTGGAAAGGAAGTTACAGATAGTGATACTCCCATGAGCCCGCTATCCTCATCCTCTAAATAATATAGATCAAGGAAAGGCACTTTTGAAGGGGCCTTTGAGAGTCTTGGAATGCATCTTGTAGATATCATGCACTGTAGCCGCATAGGGGCAGGGACAGCAATAGTGGTCCCTGCTGCTGTTCCTGGCCTTGATCACAACAATAGTGGGCCTCCTAGACCCAGTTTTTAGGCTTTGATGTGTGCCCCTGTCCCGTGCCCTGCAGTCATGGTGTGTTGGCAATGGAGGGCACAAGTGTTGAAGGTGGTGACTGAGGTTCCGGGTAAGCTATTGTTCTGTCTTGAATGGTGTCGAGTTTCTGACGTGTTGTTGGAGCTGCACTCATCCACAGAGTTGGACAGTATTCCCTCACACTCTTGGCTGAAATTCCATGCAGTACTGAGGGAATGCTGCACTGTCAGAGGCGCTGTGTTTCAGGTAAGGCATTAAATCGAGATGCTATCTAACCTCTCATGTGGATGTAAACAGCCCTAAAGCTACTGGATTCATAAGAATGAAGTTCCCCATACTAGGAACCAGTTGTTATGAAGATAGATTGGTGGAGTCAAAATAGTTTCCACAGGAGAAATAAAAATGGAGAGGAAATTGGTCAGAAATATTCAAAAATCATTAGGGGTCTGGTGAGAATGTTCTCACTCATGAAGGATTTGAAAACATGAGGGCACAGGTTTAAAATAATTGGCAAATAAGCAGATCTGATGTGAGCAAATCTTTGTCACTTGACCAGTGGCCAAGGTTTGGAATGTACAAACTGAGAGTGTGATGGGGATAGGTTCAACTAAAGCAGTCAAAAGGGAATTAGACATTATCTGAAAAGGAAGAATATGTTAGGACTATGGGTAGAAAGCAAGAAAATGGCACTAAAATGATTGCTCATTCAGAACCAGTGCAGACACGATGGACCAAATGGCTGCCTTTTGTGTTGCAACAATCCTATGATTCACTATTTGCAAGAAAAGCATGTTCGTTCTCCCATTTGTATGAGCCAACAATGTCTCAACCAACATCCCAGTTCGTGGAAACTTATAAATCAATTCCAGTGTTTCATATAATCAAGGTCACTTTGCCTCAAAATGTTTTATTTGTCTGTAAACAGCTTTGAGATTTTCCAAGGTTGCAAAATGCTCTATTTAAATGCAAATTCATAGAAGGCACAATACTATAGTGCTACCTTGCAGGGCATCCTTGGCAATTACAGTGCAATCTCAGTGCAATCTGGGATGGGGGAACGTTCCATTCTATGCTGGGATCTGGTTGGAGTGTAGGGTTTGGGGGGTTCGCTGTGGGTGATCTCACAATAGTAGAGGTATTGAACTCCAGCAATTTCAGATAACACAATTTTTTAGGTGCAACTGTGTTGTATAAAAAAAAAACCAAGTCTTAGCTGTTGAGCATCACTTACTGCTCTCGCTGCCAGTGTCATGAATGTCCCAGTGATGAAGGTGAAGTAGTAGCCAGGGTAAACTCCATGCCATATTGCCGATAGAAGGAATGTCGACAACGTCGGATTGAATGGACATCTATCATAGCAGACTCTAAAGGGGGACAACAGCGTTGATTATTAACATCCAGCATCACCACTGAATCATTTCAGCAGAGAAGGAACTCATTCAGCCCATCATATCTGCACTGGCTCTCTGAATGGGAATCATAGTTAGTGCCATTCTCCTGACTTCTGCCCATAATCTTGCTCCTTTTCAAATCACAGCCCTATTCTATTTTGAATTCTTTGATTGAACGTGCATCCACTACAGTTTCAGGCAGTGCACTCCAGCCCCAACTACTTGCTTCATGTCAAAGTTTAGCATCATATTGTTTTTGCCTTTTTGCACTAATTCCTTTCAATCTGTGCAGTTTCAGTCTCAATCATTTCATGAATAGGAACATTTTCTCCCTATTTATTTTTTCCAGATCCTTCAGGTTTATAACTATTTTAATCAGATAGCCTCTCAGCTTTTTCTTTCCAGGGAGAATACTCCTAACTTCTCCAAACTATCTTCATAAACTGAAGCTCTCCATCCCTGAAACAAGTTGTTTATTTTTTTCTGCACTCTCTCCAATGCCTTCACACCCTTCCTAAAGTGTGGTGTCAAGAACTGGATGCAATACCCAGCTGAGGTTGAGCTGGTGCCTTATATAATAGAGTCATAGAGACATATAGCACGGAAACAGACCATTCGGTCCAACCTGTCCCTGCCGAACATAAACCAAAACTAAACTAGTCACACCTGCCTGCTCCCGGCCCATATCCCTCCAAACTTTTCCTATTCATATACTTATCCAAATGTCTTTTAAACATTGTAGTTGTACTCCCATCCACCACTTCCTCAGAAAGTTCATTCTACATGTGAACCACTCTTGGTGTAAAAAAATTGCCCCTCATGTCTTTTTTTAAAATCTCTCTCTATCCTAGGGAAAAGGCAACTACCATTAACTCTTATCTGTACCCCTCATTATTTTATAAACTTCGAAAGGTCACCTCTCAACCTCCTATGCTCCAGTGAAAGAAGTCCCAGCCTATCCAGCCTTTCTTTATAATTAAAACATTCTACACCCAGCAACATCCTGGTAAATCTCTTCTGAACTCTCTCCAGCTTAATAATATCCTTCCTATAAATGGGTGACCAGAACTGGACACAGTACTCCAGAAGAAGCATCAATGTCCTGTACAACCTCAACATGACATCCTAACTCCTATACTCAAAGGACTGAGCAATGAAGGCAAGCGTGCCAAATGCCTTTTTAACCAGATCAACATAACCTCCTTGCCCATGCATTGTGTGCCCCTATTAATAAAGCCCGGGATACCGTAAGCTTTATTAACCATTCTCTCGACCTGTTCTACCAACTGCAATAACTAATGCACATATACACCCAGGTTCCTCTGCTCCTGCATCCACTTTAGAATTGTATCCTTACATTTACACTGTCGCTCCATGTGCTTTCTACCAAAGTGATACACTTTGCACTTCTCCACATTAAACTCGATCTTCAAATTTCTGCCCATTCCATCAACCTGTCTATGGTCTTTTGTTCCTCGCTCCACAGATGCTGCCAAACCTGCCACGTTTCTCCAGTATTCTCGGTTTTTATTTCAGTTTTCCAGCATCCGCAGCAATTTGCTTTTGCGTTTACGCTTTTCAATCTCTACGTGAGTTCCTGTCCGGTTGATGATGGAAAATTCCGGATTGTTGGAGAGTGGGTGGGGCTGTGTTGGCCACTTTCATGGAATGTGAGCAAAGCAGGAAGACTAAATAATGTCAGGGGTGAAGAGGGTGAGGGAGTGAGGGAGGCTGAACACCGTCAGGGGTGAAACGACGTGAGGGATGGTGAGGGAGGCTGAACACTATCAGGGTGAGGCGGCTGAGGGAGGGAAGGGGTAAGAATGAGGCTGAACATGATCTATCTGTCGCAAGGGAAGGTCCAGCATAAAATGGTGAGGGAGCATCCTGACTGTTGATCGTGCACCTGAGGAGCTATCAACAGAAGATTGAAAGGTCCCGGTAAAATGTCGAGAGAGCAAATTAAACTGCATTCAGCATTAGATGCATTCTCCCTGATGCAGACTAAAAGATCTGGGGCTGATCTGCGATATGAGACCTTCGCACAACACATGAACTCTTTGTGTATTGGTTCACATTATAATGGACTTTCACTGTATTTCCAAGTCAAGGTGACATGTGGCCTTGAGAGGAAGCAGCAGGTCGTCGTGCTTTTGAATATTGTAATTAAATCTGCTTCACCCTACCTCGCAGGCAGTGCATTCCAAAGCGTAAGACTTTGCTGTATAAAAATTAATTATCCACATGCCACAGGATCCACCAACCTAGGGCAATAGATGAAAGCAAAATGCTGCAGATCATAAATATAAACAGAAAGTGGTGGAAAAACTCAGCAGGTCTGGCAACATTTATGGACAGGGAAACAAAGTTAACATTTTGTGTCCAATCTGACTTTTCATTGGGACCCATCGGTACCTAAGATTCATATCAGATACAAAATGTTAACTCTGTTTCTCTCTCCACAGATGCTGCCAGACCTGAATTTCTCCAGCACCTTGTGTTTCCATTAGGGCAATATATAACGTGGTATGAAATGGACTATGACCTGTAGACCAAAACTACCTACTCTTTGAGCCACAGAGCTGTTTGTATGTTCCAATTGTCAATGAACATCTTCATGCTTGTTGCAAACTGAAAAAATAAAAGCAGGAATAAATTGAAGTTTATAATAAATTTATAAGTTTATATAAATTGAAGTTTGTCTAGTTTGTGGTAAATATTTGTGTGTACATGTGTATGTGCAAGGTAACTATAAAGTTCTTACCTCTACCTTGACGATGTTTAGATTGGAGAACAAGTCCCATCGAGGCTTACCTCGACTGTCGTACCCAGTGAATCCAAACCCTGCAGCATTATTGACAGCATCAGCTGTGTGCAAAATAAACACATTCAGAACTTGTCCCACCATATGGTACCCACAGCCCAAGGGCTGGAGTCAGACACCACAACCTGTTCAAACAAAGCTGTTGTATTAAGGCACAAATTGTAGACTACACAGGCACTGCACCTTTAAGACAGCTGCAATGTTGTGATGTTCCACTGCAGAGTTACTCACCTGGCATTTATTCACTTTTTGTGCAATGGAGTCAGTATCATCAGTTAATCATGTATATGTACAGTAACACCAGTAAGCATGGAACCCAAGCTGCATGTGTTTGTGATATTGCATGCTCGTAAACAGCTAGTGTTGTAAATAAACTTTGAGATATCAAATTCAAAAGAACCTGACCACCTGCGATATACGTTATGTGGGCTATCTTATCTAAAAGCACAGAAGCCATTTTTCACATCATCGGGTGGCAGCCATGGTTCAGTTGTATCAAACTCACCTCCAAGATGGAAGGCTAGAAGTTCAAATCCCAACTCCAGAAACCTGAACACAAAATCTAGGCTGATATATCAGTCATTGATAGGAATCCTGTCTTTCAAATCAGATGTTAAACTGAGTTTGCGTCTGTCTGCTCAGGAGGACGTAAATTGCAACTGGTTTGTAGAAGAACAGTAGAATCATTCTGCTGTAGGGCCATCACATTCCCTCATTAGCAAATGCTGAGGGAATTTGAGGCAGTGTCGCTGTCATATCACCTTCCTGATGGTCTTGCTGAGGCATTAAGCACTCAAAACACCTCACTTCAGCCTCTGATGTGTGACAGAGGGAAGAAACTTGCCTAATTTGTGGCAGCATGGTGGCTCAGTGGTTAGCACTGCTGCCTCACAGCGCCAGGGACCCGGGTTCGATTCCACCATTGGGTGGCTGTCTGTGTGGAGTTGGCACATTCTCCCTGTGTCTGCGTGGGTTTCCTCCGGTTTCCTGCCATAGTCCAAAGATGTGCAGGCTAGGTGGATTGGCCATGCCAAATTGCCCATAGTTTTCAGGGATGTGTAGATTAGGTGGGTTATAGGGGGATGGGTCTGGGTGGGATGTTTTGAGGTTCAGTGTGGACTTGTTGGGCCAAAGGGTCTGTTTCCACACCATAGGGATTCATTAAAAAAAATGGAGGTTTTAAGCCAGAAACCAGCGAGAGGTGTCAATTCCTCTTCAGAGCATTGGAATAGGAGGAGACCATTCTGATTTTAAACCTATCCTTTGTTCAATTAGAATGCCGTGAACCAAGATTTTAGCTGCGTTTACAAACTTTAGTTTTGATAACCCATAATGGGGTTCCTAATGAAGGTCTATCGATCTTAATTTTGAAACGTTCATGTGATCTCCAGCATCTTCAAGGAGAGAGTTCCAGATTTCCACCATTCTCTATGGGATTCCTGACATCTCCCCCTTGAACAACCCAGCTCTAATTGTAATATTCTGACCCCTTGTTCTGGAGTGGCCCACCAGAGTAAAATCGTTTCTATCAAATCTTTTTCTCATCACAAAAGAACTCAACTAACTCATGCTTTAATCTTTTATTGTCACCTTGACAAACGCAAATCATCCCCTGTACACTTTTTTAGCCCTTTTAACCCAGATATCATTCAGGTGTAACTGAGCCTGTACACCTTCTATAGTCCACACATCCCTGATGAGATTCAATACCCAGAATTTAACACAGAAACACAGCAAATCTGGCAGGATCTGCAGAGAGAGAACACAGCTAACATTTCGAGTCCAGTGACCCCTCGACAGAAGCGTCTAATGAATGGTCACTGGACTTAGAACGTTAACTTTGCTTCTCTCTGTACAGATGCTGCCAGACCTGCTGAGTTTCTCCAGCACTCTCTCTGTTTTATTCCATTCACTTTGTTACTTATATTTTGTACCTGTCTGCTAGTATTTAATGGTTTCTGTACATGGTCTCCAAAATCTGCTGTATGTATTCTGTTTAATTTTGTCCTTACCTATGGTCCAAGCAAAATAATACTTGGGTCTGCAGGCCAGGGTGGAAATGTAGAGATACAGTAAACGTACAGGGATCGATGCTGTGGCAATGAAGGTATTGTCAGTGTTGTAGGAGATGGGAAATACATGTAATAAATACAGATGCATAAATACACAAACACTGCAGATCAGGATCTTGCATCCCACAGCACCCTGCAGAAAGAAAGAATCAATTAGATCCCAGTCAGTAAAGAAAGTCCATAGTAACAGATGATTGCGGTTAACATTATAAAATCCATAATACGCAAGGATATCAGTCAGTCCCAAACTCCCTCTTTTGTTGCCCCAAATGCACATTGCTGAATGTGCATTTTTTGCATATCAACTTACTTTGTTTCATGAATGAACAGTTAAATCTAACAAAAGAACCAAACACGAGATGCCCATTTTTTTAAAAAAGCTTGGCAACTTGTTGTCATCTGGAGTGCATTGCTTAAAGAACAGTGGAAGCAGAATAAAAACCCACTTTCCACCAAAAAGGAACTGCAGAAACACTTCAAAGAAAAGTTTTGCAGGGCAGTGGGGATAAGACAGTGTTTGTGGAACTTTATTGGGCTTCCTTTGTTACAACGCTGATGGCAACATTTCTCCCTTGATGCTGGGATTAATTGAAGTTTTAAACACAGATCCGTTATTAGCTGTTGATGTCAGGATATATGGATCAAAGGCAGGAAATTGCAGTTGAGTACAGACTAGCTGGAATCCAAATGAATGATGGAACATAGTAGAAACTAAATGGGCTCCTCCTGTCCCAATGATCCTATTAACTCAATAAGATACTGCAAGTTCTACATTTTGTAGAATTTCAAAAAGAGCTTCCATACATCTAACTCTTTTTTTATGACCACAGGATGTCTCAGAAGTGCCAAAGAGGGACTATTTGTGGTGTCACTGTTGTAACATAGGAAACAAAACAGTGAACTTGCACATGGCAATCTCTAGGAAAGAGTGAGATAATGAGCAGATAATGTGATTGAACAATTTCATTTGAGGGATAAATATCGGCCAGGACACCAAAGAGCATTCCCCTGCCCTTTTCTGAATGAATAACCATGGGATCATTTACATCCACTTAAGAGAGCAGACAAGGACCAGATTTTAATGCCTGATCTAAACGACAGCACAGCACACCCTCAGTATTGCACTGGAATATCAATCTGAAGGTTGAGATCAATTCAATGGCGTGGAACTTGAAGTGGACCTTCTGACTCTGAGGTGCAGCTAATATCTAAATAGTAAACGATTCGAATGAAAAGCAATCAAAATTAGAGATATCCAGTTGCATAGGTAAAACTATTTGCTTAACATTAACACTGAACTCTGCAAGACGGCTCATGTCACATCGCATTGAACCATCAGTTCAAGAGGATGCAGTGACCAACTACAGCCACAATGTGGAGCTCTCTACAGAGAGAGAAAAGAAAGTTCGACTGCATAGTGCTCTCTGCCTCATCAACATGAGGGCACCACTTTCAAAGACTCAGGTTTATCAGCCAGCGCATGTGGAAAACTAAAACTATGCCACTTTTCTGACAAACAATTTTGAGCAAATCAAGCACTTTGCCAGCTGGTGTAGCTGAAGGCCACTCTGACCAGGATCTTTTGCCCAATTCCATGCCTATGCGCCCCACCCCCCTCCCCCCTCAGTACTGTGTCTGGCTGGTACAGAGTCAAGACAGTGTACTCTGGTTGTGACCAGCATGTAAAAGAAATATATCCCAATGCTTGTCCTAAATCTGCCCGTCACAGGCACTGGATGCTCCTGTCAAATTAGCGTCTTGTTTTGGAGTGTCGTTTTCTTTATTCCAATTGCTTTCGAAAGCAACACTGTTAGGTCAGATGTTACTGGCTAATGTTTCTGGGATCTCACTGTGCACAGATCACCTCCCACATTTCCTAGATTACAGCAGCGACTGCACTTCACTTGAAGTATTTCATTGGCTGTAAATTTCTTTGGGGCATCCTGAGGTTGAAAAAACTGAGAGAGAAAGGCAAATACATGTTCACTAAAGGGACAGAAGTATACGCTGATAGAGTTAGATAAACAGGAAGCCGTTAAAATAGAATATAAATACCAGCACAGATCAGTTGGGCTGAATGGCTTGATTTTGTATTGTAGCCTCCGTGAAACAACACACTAACCTTTTTATACTTTTCCTCTACAACTGGATTTGTTTGCTCGCTGTTTACATCAGCTCTGCTGTCCCAGCAGGTCCCTCCCACACCCCCCTTAATAATCACCAAAACCAAATGCACACCCAGGACTGTATTTACCCAACTCTTTGATTGACTTCAGTGAACAACTCCTAGATATGACTGTCCAGACCTCAGCTGCTATCTTTGGAGTTCTGCCACTGACAATATGTCATACAAAAACAAAGTTACTGGAAAAGCTCAGCAGGTCTGACAGCATCTGTGAAGAAAAAAATCAGAGTTATTGTTTTGGGTCCAGTGACCCTTCCTCAGAACCCTTCTAAGGAAGGCTCACCAGACCCAAAACATTAACTCTGATTTTTATGCTGCAAATTGAGGCTGTGCCAGGTTTAACATAACTTCCATATTTTTATGGTCGATGAACTTATTGCAAGAGACCAGAACACTAACTCTCTTCCAACCTGTCCTGCAATCTTCCCTGATGAATGTACAAACACACCCAGGTCTCTCTGCTCCTCGACCCCCCCTTTACAACTGTAATGAAGTCTAAATCAGTGTGGCAGTCTGTAAATGTGACAATGTATTTACCTCACACCCCGTCCACGCAATAAAAACCAAAAAAGAATCCCCCTCGTCCTCACGTACCACCCCACCAACCTCCGGATCCAACGCATCATCCTCCGACACTTCCGCCATCTGCAATCCGACCCCACCACCAAAGACATCTTTCCCTCCCCACCCTTATCTGCTTTCCGGAGGGACAACTCTCTCCGTGACTCCCTTGTCCGCTCCACACTCCCCTCCAGCTCCACCACACCCGGCACTTTTCCCTGCAACCGCAGGAAGTGCTACACCTGCCCCCATACCTCCTCCCTCACCCCCATCCCAGGCCCCAAGAACACTTTCCACATCAAGCAGATGTTCACCTGCACATCTGCCAATGTGGTATACTGCATCCGCTGTACCCGGTGTGGCTTCCTCTACATCGGGGAAACCAAGCGGAGACTCGGGGACCGCTTTGCAGAACACTTACGCTCGGTTCGCAACAAACAACTGCACCTCCCAGTCGCGAACCATTTCAACTCCCCCTCCCATTCCTCAGACGACATGTCCATCCTGGGCCTCCTGCAGTGCCACAACGATGCCACCCGAAGGTTGCAGGAACAGCAACTCATATTCCGCTTGGGAACCCTGCAGCCCAATGGTATCAATGTGGATTTCACAAGTTTCAAAATCTCCCCTCCCCCCACCGCATCCCAAAACCAGTCCAGCTCGTCCCTGCCTCCCTAACCTGTTCTTCCTCCCACCTATCCCCTCCTCCCACCTCAAGCCGCACTTCCATCTCCTACCGACCAACCTCATCCCGCCCCCTTGACCTGTCCGTCCTCCCTGGACTGACCTATCCCCTTCCTAACTCCCTACCTACACTCACCTTTCCTGGCTCCATCCCCGCCTCTTCGACCTGTTTGTTTCCTCTCCACCTATCCTCTCCTCTATCCCTCTTCTATCCGCCTCCCACTCTCTCCCTATTTATTTCAAAACCCCCTTCCCCTCCCCCTTTTCTGATGAAGGGTCTAGGCCCGAAACGTCAGCCTCTCTGCTCCTATGATGCTGCTTGGCCTGCTGTGTTCATCCAGCCCTGCACCTTGTTGTCTCGGATTCTCCAGCATCTGCAGTTCCTACTATCTCTGAATGTATTTATGTAGGCTCTTTTACCTCTTCCAGACAATTTTAAGAAAATATAAGACAATGGCCAGTCTTTTGGCATACCAGAGATGAAGGTTCATTTGGAGGGCACCGGTCGCTTTTCTTCTCTTTGGCAAGATGGTGCATTCCAACAAAGTTTCTGCCCTCAATGAAGCTGATGTAATCATTGTAAGAATTCAGAGGTCCTGCAAGGATGCCCATGAAGTTGAGATTGTAGCTCAAATACTCAAGGATTCTTGGTATTCGCCTGAAAGCACCAATAAAAATATCATGATCCAAAAATGTTATAGGAAAAGCTACATACAAGTAAGATGTTACATTACAATGTTTCATGGAAAGAGAGTGGCGAGTTGGGGAGACAGTTGATGGTGATATCTAAACATATTTTGATGGCTGGTGTAGGAATACATTTCAAGTCAATAGCTCGCCATTTGAAACAATATCCTTAGCTGGTCAACAGCCTCTTGCTGCACTTTCTCTCTCTCTCTCCCCCCACCCCCTCCACCGTCCCCCTCTCTCTTTCTCACTGGCTATTTCCTACTCCCAAAAATAATATGTAAACCCAGCGTTATTCTGTATCAAACTAAGAGAAGACCAACTGTGATGATAACAAAGGGATACACATTAAGAACAGTACGTTACAGGTTCATAGGATTGGGACATTCAATCTTTGCAATTTTGGATTGTAGTTAAGAACATATAATTGATTCACTCATGGCCAGCTCCTTCTCCATTAAGAAGAAAATCAGTGCCAAGTTTTGAATCCCTGACATCTTTTCTAATAAAATTCTCACTCTAGTTTAAGTCCCTTAATGCCCCCAGCTCTCCCCATCCATCTAATCACCACCAGCTCAACCGACCTTTGCAATCTGGAACATCACTGATTTATCAGCACTCCACCATTCTCAAATATGTTTTAATTGCTAAAGGCCTCAACTCTTGAATTCCCTCCTTAATTCTCTCCATCTCCCTAGTTCTCTCTCCTCCTTTAGGACACTCCCAGAAGCCTACCCCTGACAAAGTATTGATCATCTGCCCTTATATATTCTATGCGGCTTGGTGTCAAATTTTGTTGGATAAAATTCCTCAAACACTGAGCGTACTTTGCTATGTTGAAGGCACTTTATAATTGCGAGTTATTGTAACTTGTTACTTACCTAAAATTACCAACAAATACAAAAATATTACTGCAAATGAATAAGCACAGTTCCTGTCACTAAAGTTGAAATTATATCATAAAGCATTAGAAATAAAATCAAGCTGTTCCTTTCCTCCTTATTTTGATGAAATGTTTAATGCAAAGCTTCCCAAAGTGGGAGGTGCAACCGTTAATGACCCAGATCTATACAGAAAATTCAGATGTGACCTCTGCAAGGCCATTAGAGATGCCAAGAGGTAGTACTGGACCAAGTTAGAGGCCCAAACCAACCTTATGGACTCTTGCTGCCTGTGGCAAGGCCTGAATAACATTACAGGATACAAAATGAAACAGAGCAAGATAGCAAACAAAGACACATCCCACCCTGACGCGCTCAATGCTTTCTATGCTCGGTTTGAGCAAATGCCAGCAGCGTGGGGTCACCTGCCCCGACAGCCCCGGATGCACCTGTTTCTTCAGTCACCGCTGTAGACATCAGATCAGTCTTCCTGGGAGTTCACCCAAGGAAAGTGACAGGCCCAGATGGACTCTCTGGCCTTGCACTCAGATCCTGTGCGGGCCAGCTGGCGGAGATATTCGGTGACAACTCCAACCTCTCCTTCCTAACAAGTCAAAGTTCACATCTGCTTCAAGAAGACCACCACCATCCCATACCTAAGAAAGCACATGCAACGTGCTTTAATGAGTACTGCCCAGTGGCTCTGACCTCCATAATCGTGAAGTGCTTCGAGAGGCTGGTTATAGCCCACATCAACTCTAGTCTCCCAGCCTGCCTTAATCCTCTGCAATTTGCCTACTGACTCTTCCACAGTAGTCGCCATTTCCCATCCCTGCCTTCATCCATGGAACATCTGGACAACAAGGACACCTACATTAGACTCCTGCTCATCAACTACAGCTCCGCCTTCAACACCATTATCCCCTCCAGACTGATCTCAAAACTCCAAGACCTAGGTCTCAGCTCAGCCCTCTGCAACTGGATCCTCAGCTTCCTGACCCAGAGTCTGCAATCAATGAAGATGGACAAATGCACCTCCTCCATGATAACACTCAACACTGGAGCCCCCCAAGGATGCATTCTCAGACTCCTCCTATACTCCCTGTACACCCACAACTGTATAGCCTAATTTCAAATGAACGCCATCTACAAGTTTGCTGATGACACCACCTTGCTAGGACGATATCAAACAATAATGAGTCAGGGAGATAGAGAGCTTGGTGACGTGGTGTAATGATAACTACCTCTCTCTCAATGTCAGCAAAACTAAAGCACTGATCATTGACTACAGAATGAAAGGAGGACAACATGCCCCCATCTGCATCAACGGAGCGGAGATTGAGAGGTTGAAAGTGTCAAGTTCCTAGGAGTGACGATAACCGACAACTTGTCCTGGACCTCCCATGTAGATGTGACTATGAAGAAGGCACAACAATGTCTCTTCATCCTCAAGTGGCTTGGGAAATTCGGCATGCCCATAAGGATACTCACCAACTTTTACAGATTCACCATAGAAAGCACACTGTCTGGGTGCATAACAGCCTGGTATGGCAACTGCTCTGCCCATGACCGTAAGAAACTACAGAAGGTAGTGTGCACAGCCCAGACCATCTCAGAAGCCAACCTTCCATCCATGGACTCTACTCATACCTCTTGTTCTCACGGAAAGGCAGCCAACATCATCAAAGACCCATCCCACCTCAGTAATACTCTCCTACAACCTCTTCCAGCAGGCAAAAGATACAGAAGCTTGAACATAGACACCAGGAGGTTCCTCCCTGCCATTATTAGACTGATGAATGGACTCTAACTTCAAATAATGTTGATCTTGTTAATGGTAATCTTGCCTTGTGCATGTTCTGTGCAGTGTAACCTGTATGTCTCACTCTGTTCAAGATTTTTTCACCTTATGATCTGTATGTCCTTTGCTTACTATGATCTGCTTGTACTGCTCCCAAACAAAGCTTTTCACTGTACTTAGGTACATGTGACAATATAACAGTCAATCAATCAACAATGGGGTCACTGGACAAAATTCTGGGTTCAGAAACTCTAAGGGAGCAATGGTTTCAGTCCCAGTGGGAAAAACTTGTAAACTCTGCAAATGACATGTACTAGTCTGACTGAACTGGCATGCTTCATAATGGGAAAAAGTTTGGGAAATGTTGGTTTGACAAGTTTGGATTAACACCTCCAAACGTTATCAGGTGAATGGTATTATGAACATGGTTGTTATTCTTATTTTCGGGAGAAACCACTCATTGCAAATCCAGCCCATATCTTCCTTGGTGTGCATTCTGTACATACCTCACCGCTAACCGTTTCTGAGATGCATTCAGTTCACTTTCGTCTCGGGCCAGACCTGAATGGAATTAAGATAAACATGTTTGGAATGTTTTCAGCACTGTAGAAAAATGCATTAATTTCCTGGGAGTTATCACAGAATAGAAGGGAAACTGCTAGTACAGGCAGTCCCTGGGTTGCAAACAGGTTCATTTCTGGAGTCCACTCACAAGTCAATTTGTACACAATGCAGGACGATGTAAACCAGCTGTTCACTAGTACCCAAAACGTTCATACGTTGCGTCTTTAAAATGACATCCCTATATGTGATTACATTCTTAAGTCAGCGTTCGTAATTAGCAAACCCCCTGTATCATTATTGCAGCTCAACACATCTCAAAGTAGGTGAAGTGCACCAAACTAATTTGCAACATGACGGATTTTACACAGCTTAACACACAGCCAACAAGTCAACAGAAAGATCCCATAAATTGCAAGTAATCTTTTTCGGATCATGACCTGTTAGGGGAGGAACGTTGGCCAAGATGCTACAACTAGGAAATGCCCTCAGAGTTGGTGCAGCAACGCTGTTGGAAATTCCTGATGAGGGAATGTGATCAGCCCCCAGAGGACTCCAATGGTTCTCTTTGGAGCATTTCCACAGGATGGTTTACATTCACCTGAACTGGTAGAGCCAAGACCAAAATCAAGGTTGTCTCTCCAGTGCATCACTGAGTTAGTGCTGCATTGTTCCAGGCATGTCTTTCAATGAGATGCAGAACTGGGGCCCATTTGCACTCTCAGATGGCCACAGAATAATCATAGCCCCTAGTTTAAAGAAGGCCAGGGGAGTTCTCGCTTGAAAATAAAAACAGGAAGCCTGAGGTTCAAAGTGACACTATCTAAATGCAAGCCTCTTTGCTTGGCTTTTTAACATTATTCTTTCATGGGATGTAGAGTCACTGGCAAGGCCTGCATTTGGTCCCTCTCCCAAATTAACTGAGTGGCTTACTCGGCCATTTTAGAGTTAACCACATGACTTTGGATCTGGAGCCACATGTAGGCCAAACCATGTAAAGATGGCTGATTTCCTTCCCTAAATGACATTAGTGAACCAGACAACTTTACGTGATAATTGACAGTAGTTTGATGGTCACCAGTGCAGAGACTGGCTGTCATTTATTCATTTATTTTATTAACTGAATTTAAGTTCTGCCAGCTACCATGGTAGGATTTGAAAGCATCTCCCCAGAGAATTAAAACAAAGTTGCTGGAAAAGCTCAGCAGGTCTTGCAGCATCTGTGAAGGAAAAAAAAAACAGAATTAGCCTGGGTCACTTGTGTATTTAGACCATGGAAATTAAAACTACAAAAAACATCTCCCGTATTCTTATCTTTCTTCATCTGCAGGAAAGCATCTGACTCCCTTTGCTACTCCATTGGAAGAGTCAGGTTAGATTCAAGTGTTTTAATCTTCAACCCACATCCTTATAACTCAGAGGTAAGGGAGCATTAACTGAGCCACAGCTGTGTGTTTTATTGTGGTAACAGTCTGTGACCTCCTGTTCCAGATCAGTAATCTGTCAAGTGCTTTTGTCCCAACTTCAGAGCCAGGAGGCCCAGGTTTAACATGTAATATAGCATCTCTGAACAGGTTGATTAGAAAACAAAAATCTGTAAAGTGCTTTGTTGCCTCCAAGTACTTTCTCTTTTAGATTCTTGAGAAGAGGCAGAGGGGTAGAGATATTGTCACTGGGCTAGAGTCCCAATCTTATCTTCTGGAAGTGGGGTTGAAATTCCTCTGGGCAGCTAGTAAAATTTGAATCCAACAAAAATCTGGAACTAAAAGCTAATCTAATGGCGACTATGTGTCAATTATCATAAATAATGCCTTTTCAGGATTGAAATCTGACATCCTTACCCACTCTGGCCCACATGTGACTCAGACCCCAGCAATGTGGTTGACTCTCAATGGCCCTCTGAAATGGCCTAACAAGTCATTCAGTTCAAGCTAGGGTAATTGCTCACAGTATTAAAAGGATCCTGGCTGCACTTTTCCATGCTTTCAGTGGCAAATCCCATCAAACCCCAGGAAGAATGGGAAGGTGGAGTGGGGGTGGGGTGACATGGGAGGGTGGTGTGGGTGGGAAATGAAATGTCGAAGTTCTTATGTTAGCCGTTCACCCACATTGGGGTGGGAGGGCAGTGAGGGAACTAACAGACATTCATCAAAAACCTCCAGCAGAGGGCAGTAAAAACCAAATCTAATTCTGCAACAGTCCAGGCTTAATATATTTCAGATCAATGTGAATGATTGCACCTTCATCCCATTTGAGACAGATTAACCCTGCAACAATAGAAAATTCAAACTGAGGAGGCATAGGCCTCGTGGTATTATCACTAGACTGTTAATCCAGAAATGCAGCTTATGTCCTGGGGACCTGTGTTCAAAAAACTTGCTGTGACAGATGCCGGAATTTGAACCCAACAAAAAGAAAAAGTGTGGAATTAAGAATCTACTAGTGACCATAAAACCAATGTTGGTTGTTGGGGAAAACCCATCTGGCTCACTAACATCCTTCAGGGAGGGAAATCTGCCATCCTTATCTGGTCTGGCCTACATGTGACTCCAGACCTACAGCAATGTGGTTGACTCTTAAATAGCCTCTGAGCAATCAGGGATGGGCAATGAATGCTGGCCTAGCCAGGAACACCCACATCCTGTGAATAAATAAAAAAAAGTCAACGACCTTTCTGTCTACAGAGTTCAATGTTGTGCAATTGATTTGATTTATTACGGTCATGTGGACTGAGGTACAGTGAAAAATGTTGTCTTACATGCTTTGTTGGCAGACTGTACTATATAAGTACATCAGGGTAACAGAATAGAGTGCAGGATACAATGTTACAGCTGCCGAGAAGATGCAGAGAGAGATCAATATTAATATTAAAGAGGTCCATTCAAAAGTCTGATAACAGTGGGGAAGAGGCTGTTCTTGAATCTTTTCTTACGTGTTTACAAACTCTTATATCTACTGCCCATGGAAGAGGGTGGAAAAGAGTATAAGGAGGGTGGGAGGAGTCTTTGATTATGTTGGTTGCTTTCCTGAGGCAGCAGAAAGTATAAATGAAGTCATTGGATGGGAGGCTGGTTTGTGTGATGGACTGGCCTGTGTTCACAACTCTCTGTAATTTTTTTTGGTCTTGGGAAGAGCAGTTGCCATATCATACTGTGATGCGTCCAGATAGGATGCTTTCTGTGGTGCATCTATAAAAAAATTGTAAAAGTTTATCCTCAAAATCTAGCCTCAGTCACTAAAACAGATTACCCAGTCATTATCACGTTACTGTTTGTAGAGACTTGATGTGCACAAATCATCTGTTGCATTTCCCACATCAGAGTGATTTACTATGATGTGAAAATGGCTGCCATGCATGCACAGACATAGTCTGTAATGTAGTTGGGCTGTGATAGGCCATGAAAAGCATCTATGTGTGCATGTGCTGCTGATGTCACATGGCTGGAGTATGGGGATGGGGGGCCAGAGAGGAGTCTGGGGTGCAGTCTGGGGCAGCCAAAGCTGAGACTCCCTCCTCCCCATCAGTGCCTGCAGTGTCCCCACACACACCGCCCCCACAACTGTCTACGCCCCTTCCTCCAGATCGTCCACCTTGACCAGGCACTAAAATGATGCCCTGCCCATGTGCAGGCAGGACTGGGGCTCTCAGCTGGCTGTCACACTGTGCTCCTGCGTGAGCATGCTCATTGCTCCACCTGGTCGTAGCAGACATGATAAACATGGCCTTACAGTGACTACAGGTTAAAGTACTCCATTGGCTGCAAGCACTTTGGGCCACCCTAAGCTTGTGAAAGGTGATATTTAAAGGCAAATCTTTCTTCTTTCAACAAGAATCCATAGGAATATGAAAGTTGCCACCATTAATTGGTAAGTAGCATAGATGCAGTTTAGATGGAACAAGAGAAGATTAAGAGGAATGGAAGGATACATTGTAAGGGTTAGCTGCAAGAAACGTAGGAGGCGGCTAGTTGTTTGGAGCACTAATATCAGCCTGGATCTGTCAGGCCAAATGGCCTGTTTCTGTACTTTGACTACATTGTTAGATCAGGATCAGGGATAGGCCTCTCAGCCTTGGCCTGTTCTACCATTCTCTTTGATGACTGATCTATACCCCAACTGCTCAAGACATGAGCTGAATTATTTTCTTTCATTTCAAATTTCTTACCATCATGAAGTTCAAATGCCAACTTTGTGACTTTCTGTGTAATCACCATCAATGGCCTACAATTAAGAGAAGACACTTTAGTAGATAAACACAAAAGAGCAATGGGTAATTTACTTAAACCCCTTCTAGCTTTTTGTCTTTAACTGGGATGTGCTTGTGAAATTACAGACAATACTAAGTGACAAGTCAAGGATATGGGTCTGGGAATGATGCATACAACTGAATGTGACACACCCTTCAAGTTTCACTCCCAGTGTCAGTAACTTGTTGAACTTCATACCTAGATGATATCACCAGCAATCATACCTGAAACGATACCTAAAGGTCAAACGTAAACTAAACTGAATCATAAATGAGGCCATCAACCTGAAATCAAAGTTCTTTCTAATGAGTTGATATCCAGTGATGCAACTGCCTATTATGTATTTGACATTCTTAAAGTGAATAACAGTGATTGCCTATTACCCTAGGACAATGGTAGTTATGAGGGTGAAAAGATGCATACTAGTTAACAAGTTAATAAGTTAATATGGTGATCGTTTCTGTCAGTGAGTCAGTCATAAAAAAAGCAATAAAAATATCATCAACATTTTTTCTTTACACACCCACACAAAAGGTTGTTGGTTTGTAGAATTCTGAAGCAGCAGTGGGAGAAGAATGTACAACAGTTTGTAAAAGGGAATTTGATAAAAACTGTAAAAACAAAAAAAGAAAATAAGGGAGTGTTGAAAAAAGAAGGGGCTGGAGAATTGTTATTACTTTGCATAGCCCTTTTAGGGAGCTGCTAGCACAAACAATTGAATTTGTTTTATTTATTCATGGAATGACAGTGTTGCTGGCTAGACAGTATTTATTGCTTATCCCTAATTGCCCAGAGGTCAGTTAAAATTCAACCACATTGCTGTGGATTTGCAATCACATGTAGGCCATACTAGCTAAGGATGGCAGTTTCCTTCCCTAAAGGACATTAGTGATCCAATGGGGTTTTTCCTGACTATCGACAGTGGATTTGTGGTCTTCACTGCATTCTTAATTCGAAATTTTTATTGAATTCAAATTCCACTGTCTACCATAACAAGGTGTAGGGCTGGATGAACACAGCAGGCCAAGGAGCATCAGAGGAGCAGGAAAGCTGACATTTTGGGTCTGGACCCTTCTTCAGAAAACTGTCTGCCATGACAGGATTTGAACTCAGGTCCCTGAGCATTACCTGGGTCTCTAGATTAACTGTCCAGTGATAATACCACTGGGCCATTGCATCCCCTGGCCTTGTTTTATTTGGCATTGATCTCAATTGGCATGAATCCGAAGAACTGTTTGCCGTTTGTCTGGTTTCTGCCTTCCCCTTCATCCAACCTTCAGGCAGCATTGATTCAATGGTTATTTTAGCAGATGTCATTGACTCTGACTCGAACAGCATTGAAACAGACCTTTTGGTTCAACTCGTCCATGCTGACCAGGTGCCTGTGTTTAGCCCACATCCCTCTAAACCTTTCCTATTCATGTACCCGTCCAATGCTTTTTAAATGTTGTAACTGTACCTGCATCTACCACTTCCCTCTGACAGTTCATTCCACATACGAACCATCCTCTGTGTGAATAAGGTGCCCCCTCAGATCCCTTTTAAGTCTTTCCCCTCTCCCTTTAAATTCATGCCTCTAGTTTTGAATGCCCCTACCCTAGGAAAGAGGCTTTTGCATTTCACCTTATATATGATCCCATGATTTTATAAACCCCTGTAAGGCCAACACTGAACCTCTTCTACTCAAGGGAAAAAAGGCCCAGCCTATCCAACCTCTCCTTATAACTCAAACCCTCCAGTCCTGGTAACATCTTTGTGAACCATTTCTGTATTTCAAATTTAACAATATCCTTCCTATAGCTGGATGATCATAATTGTACACGGTATTCCAAAAGTGGCTTCACCAATGTCCTGTATAGCTGTAACACGAAGTCCCAACTCCTCCACTCAATGCTGTGACCAATGAAGGCAAGCATGCCAAATGCCTTCTTCACCACCCTGTCTACCTGTGGTGCCACTCTCAAGGAACTATGTACCTGAACCCCTAGGTTTGTCTGTTCAACAACACTCCCTAGGGCCCTACCATTAACTGTGTAAGTCCTGTTCTGGTCTGTCTTACCAAAAAGCAATACCTCATATTTATCTAAATTAAACTCCATCCATCTGTTGTTCCTCAGCCTCGTGGCCCAGCTGATTAAGATAAAACACGATGGTAAAACATGGCTGACTGACAGAGGATAGTGCATGTTTTTCCATTTATTCTTCTATTGAATGTGGGCACTGCTGGAAAGGCTAGCATTTATTGTCCATCCCTAATTGTCCTCAAGAAGATGGTGGTGATCCACTGCAGTTCACATGAGGTAGGCCCTTCCACAGTGCTATTAAGTAGAAATTTGACCTGAGAATGAAGGAGGAATGGACAATAGGTGTCCATGTCAGATTGTTTTGGATGTGCTAGTGGTCCAATGTACTTGCTGCTTTTATTCTTCTGGACGTCACAGGTTTGAAAAGTGCTGGTGAGTTGCTGCAATGCACCTTATAGAGAGTAGACATTTTAGTCAGTATGTGACGGTGATGGAGGGAGAGGATGATTAGTGTGGTGGATTGGTGAATGATCAATTAGGCTGCTTTGTCCTAGCTACCATCAAGCTGCATCAGCGGTTGTTGGAGCTGCACTCAGCAAGCAGAGACAATTCCACCATGTTGTTACTTGTGTGTTTTATGTGAAGGTAAGGCTGTGAAGTGTCAGCAGGTGAGTCACATGCCATAGAACTATTTATTCTTTCGGTGAGGTGGGCATTACTGGATCCCTCCATCCCTAATTATCAGGCAAATGGAGCGCCTCGCTAGGCCATTCTTGACAGCAGTTAACAGTCAAACACTGTGGTATGGATCTGGAGCCACATGCACACTACACTGGGTTGCAGTAGCAGATTTTCCTTCCAAAAGGATAGCCAAGATCAGCCAGGCCACCTATCTGTGGAACTGAAAAATGGGTGAGAGTCTAAACGAATATTTTGCATCAGAACACTCCATACACCTGGATAAAAAAGGCCACCAATTCGACTGGGACAACATAACCATCCCAGGACAAGCCAACCAAAGGCACGCACAGGAATTCTGAGAGGCCTGGTATTCAATCCGGAACTCCATCAATTCGACCCCATATACCAAATACTACGAAGCAAAATCAGAAGTGAGGCCAACCACCACATCAGACTGGGCCAAGCAGGACAAACCAACAACATTTCATCGGAGATGCACTGATGCTGTTACCTAGTATGGTGATGAAACGTCTGCTAACCAACCTACCAGCTCGGCAAACAAATCAACAACACCACCCACAACCCGAGCTACAAGTCTTCCCAAAAACAATCGGTATTTACTGCACAGAAGGATATGGAAGCTAGGGAACTTGGGAAACAATCAGTGATATCTTGTCCACATTACAGAGGTGGTGGTGCTGGATATCTTAAAATGCATAAAGGTGGATAAATCCTCAACAGGTATACCCTACATCTTTGTGGGAAGCTAGGGAAGTGATTGCTGAGTACCTTGCTGTGATAGTTGTATCATCGATAGCCACAGGAGAGGTGCCAGAAGACTGGAGGTTGGCTAATGTGGTACCGTTATTTAAAAAGGTGGTAAGGAAAAGCCACAGAACTATAGACCGGCGAGCCTCATATCTGTGGTGGGTAAGTTGTTGGAGGGGATTCTGAGGGACAGGATTTACATGTATTTGGAAAAGGCAAGGACTAATTAGGGATAGTCAACATGGCTTTGTGCCTCGGAAATCATGCTTCATTAACTTGATTGAGTTTTTTGAAGAAGTGATGAAGTTGATTGATGAAGGCAGAGAGTGGTGGGCACTGTTTATATGGACTTCACGAAGGCATTGGTGATAAGTTTCTGCACAGTAGATTGATTAACAAGGTTAGATCACATGGAATACAGGGAGAACCAGCCATCTGGATAAAAAATTGGCTTGAAGATAGAAGACAGAGTATGGTGGTGGAAGGTTGCTTGTCGGACTGGAGGCCAGTGACCAGTGGCGTGCACAAGGATCAGTGCTAGGGTAACTGCTTTTTGTCATTTATATAAATGATTTGGATGTGAATATAGCAGGTATGGTTAGTAACTTTGCAGATGTTGCCAAAATTGGAGGTGTAGTGGACCGCGAAGAAGTTTACCCAAGAGTACACGGGATCTTGATCCAATGGGGACTGGCAAATGGGAGCTTAATTTAGATAAATGCGAGATGCTGCATTTTGGAAAGGCAAATCAGGGCAGGACTTATACACTTAATGGTAAGGTCCTGGAAGGATCACTAAACAAAGAGACCTAGGGGTGCAGGTTCATAGTTCCTTTAAAGTGAAGTCACAGGTAGACAGGGTAGTGAAGAAGGCATTTAGTACACTTGCCTTTATTGGTCAGTGTAAGGAGTATAGGAGTTGGGACGTCATGTTGCAGCTATACAAGATATTGGTTAAGCCACTTTTGGAATACTGCATTCAATTCTGGTCTCCCTGTTACAGGAAAAATGTTGTTAAACTTGAAAGGATTCAGAAAAGATTAGCAAGGAAGTTGGCAGGGTTGGAGGGTTTCAGCTATAGAGAGAGGCTGAATAGGCTGGGGCTATTTTCCCTTAGAGAAGTTTCTAAAATCATGAGGGGCATTGATAGAGTGATTAGTCAAGGTCCTTTCCCCAGGGTAGGGGAGTCAAAAACTAGGCAGCATATGTTTAAGGGGAGAGGGGAAGAGATTTAAAAGGGACCTAAGGGGCAACATTTTCACACAGAGGGTGCTGCGTGTAAGGAATAAGCTGCCAGAGGGAGGTGGTGGAGACTGGTACAATTGCAACATTTATTAGGCATCTGGATGGGTATATGAATAGGAAGGATTTAGAGGGATATGAGCCAAATGCTGGCACATGGGGCTAGATTAATATAGAATATTTGGACAGTATGGACGAGTTGGACCAAGGGTCTGTTTTCATGCCGTACAGCTCTATGACTCTAATGGAGCAGATGGATTTTTAACAACAATGAACAATAGTTTCAAGGTCACCATCATAAAGACTAGCATTACCTTCCGGATTTATTCATCAATTTCAAATTCTACCAGCAGGCACAAGGGGTTTTAACTGATGTCACCAGATCATTAGCCTGGGCCTCTGGATTACCAGTTAGTTATTGTACTGACAGGGCACTACCTTCCCCTAGCCACAGAATACCCAGCCTTGATCTGATCTTATAGTTACAGCATTTATCCAGGTCATTCTTAAATTTCGTTTAATGACACCCTCAAGATAAGGTTGAGAAAGTGACAATGGTTAATACCACTGGATGCCAAAGAGAGGCAGTTGCACAATCTATTCTTCAAGATGGTAACTGCCTGGCTCTTGTCTGGAATATGATGGAATTCTCTCCACTTGCTTGGGTGAATGCAGCTCTAACAACATTCAAGACAAAGCAGCCTAATTAATCATTAATTCACCACATTAATCATCCTCTCCCTCCATCACTCACACACAGTGACTACAATGTGGGTGCTGTACAAGATGCATGGTAGTAGTTCACCCAATTTTCTTCAACAGGAGCTTCCAAACTTCCAAAATCTGAAGTATTGTGTGAAGTTTGACTCCTTATCTGAAGGAAGGTGTTCTGGCTATGGAGAGAGTGCAAAGGTTTACCATGGATTACAGGACCAACATACAAAGAGCGACTGGATCAGTAAGGATTACAGTCACTGGAGGTTAGAAGAATGAGTCGGAATTTCATACTAGCTATTGTTCCATTATTTGTTGACTAATTGAGTAAACTTCAGCATTCCTGCAACATCTTTCACAATCTCAAGATTTTCTAAACTGACGTATAGTCAATGCAATACTCTTAATGTGTGGGCATTGCAATGTAGGGAATGTGGCAATCAATCAATCTGTGCATTGCAAGATTTCACAAACAGCAGAACTGTAATGCAGCACAGATAGAACATTGGGATGTGTTGAGGTCATGTTAAGCCACTACATAAATCCAATATCCATCTTTCAAAGGAGAGCAAACTTAGTGAATTAACGCCAATTCCTGCCCTAAACCACATAATCAATTTTAATCAGTCCCACAACGGTCAGTATTCCTGTGAAATTTTCTTTTCTTGTTCCTTCTAAGTCCCAAACATCACTATCCTCCACACTTGCTCGCTCTCTCTGAATCCCTGTTCAGATTTCAATCAGAAAGAGTGCTCAACCTGTTACTTCAGCTCATTCTATTGCAGGAACTTAAAGTTGTGATTCTGTCTTAGCCTTTCTCCAGCTATTGGCAACTCAGCCTTCGTGCAAAGTAACCAGTATTTCCAGATATAATATTGTCTACATTGGGGAGGTGAGACAATCCTTATGGTATTTTGCATAGTGATCTTTTACCTTAGTTTCTGTGATTTATTTATTCCAATTGACATTGCTCAAGTCTAACAGAACCATTTCACAAATGGAGTTCCCAAGGTCGTAAAATAATACATGTACTTCAGTATTTCAATATCATGTGACCTTCCATCTTATTTTGAAACAATTGCATACGAGAACCACTGGAGGAAACAGTCACATGACCCATGAAATTCAACCCTGCCACTTATCGGATACAATTCCACTTTAACATGAACATAAGACACAGTCATTTATTCACCCTGGCAGAAAATTCAGCAAAGTTTATTTCCATGCCATCTTGGCTATGAAACCAGGACCTTCCTCAGAATGACTGTTCTGTGGCCTAAGTGTTCATATAACAACTTGCATTTACATAGTGCCTTTAACATAGCAACACATTTCACAGGAATGTTACTAAACTTAGGGCAGATGACAAAAACTTTTAAGGAGTATCTTTAAAGATGGAGAGCAGTGGAGACAGGTGAAGAGGTTTAGGGAGAGAAGTGCAGAATGTAGGGGAGGCAGCTGAAGGCCAATCCAACGATGGCAGGATGACAAAAATCAGGGACAGACAAGAAGCTAGGATGGGTCCAATCCTTGCGATTTTGAGTCCATGTCCCTTGGTCATCCCCTTGCTGTGAGGCAATTCTCTAAATCTCAATTTTCCATCTCATTTACCAGTTCAAATAACTTAGCAAGATCATCTGTCAGTTCTTAGTGAGAATATGATCTGTTCAAATGTTCCAGTTTTTCACATCACACCAGCCATGATGCTATAAGTTAAGGAGACAGCTACAAAGGTGAACAGAAATTGTTTTAAAGTTTAAGGATGGAATTCCAAAAGATTCATTTTAACCTAAGCCAGCCATTGGAGAAGATTTAGAGTTAGATTTAAGTTTTTTTTGTCATGTGTACTCAAATACAGGAGTACAATGAAAAGTGTGTAATGTTGCCACACAAGGTACAAAATCTTCATTACAAAATCTTTGTTTTATCCCCAGTTCAAAATTACTTGAGACAGTCCATTAGGTTAAGGCACTATACAAGTTATTGTTGTTGGTAATCTTACTGGAGTCTCCAGTCAGGTAAAGAGAATGTTATACCTGACTCTGTCCTGATCATAATCAATGAGATAGATTATAGCTAACCACTAATTAGAACTTATTCACATCATCATCTGATTCTTCAAAAACTTAGTCATAAACAGATTTAGAGGGTGGACAAAGTAGTTTCTTTGATCATCTTCCTGACCACAATCCAAGAGATACATGACAGTAACTTACCAATGGACTCTTTGACAGCATATCCCAAACCTTTTTCTTTACTTCATTCACAGAAAATGATCATCATTGGCAAGACCAGCATTGATTGCATTTCCAAAAGTACCCTTGGAAAAGTGGTGATGAGCCACTTTCTTAAACTGCTGCCATCTATAGTGCTAGGCTCACCTACAGTGCAGTTTAGGAAGGGAGTTTCCAGATTTTGACCTAGTGACTCTGAAGGATTGGTGATATAATTCCAAGTCAGGACGGTATGTGGTTTGGAGGGAACTTAGTGGTGCTACAATGCACCTCCTGTTCTTGTCCATCCAGGTGATAGAGGTCACAGGTTTGGAAGGTGCTGCTGAAGAAGCCTTGGTGAGTTATTTGCAGTGGATCTTGTAGATGGCACACACTGCTGCCCCTACACATCAGTGGTGAAGGGAGTGAATCTTGAAGGTGGTGGATGTGGTGTCAATTAATTGAGTTACTTTGTCCTGTTTGTGTTCAGCTTCTTGAGTTTTGTTGGAGCTTAATTTAGCCAGGCTTGTGGAAAGCATTCCATCATGCTGCCAGGTTTATGTTGTAAATTGTTTTCGGGTGTTAGGAGATGAGTTATTCCTAAAGATTCTCGCCTCTGACCTGCTCCTGTAGTCACAGCATTTATATAGCTGGTCAATGGTAATGTTGACAGTGAGGGATTCAGTGATGGCAATGCCATTGAATGTCAAGGGGAGACATCCAAAAGGACAAGGATTGAAGGTCCATGGGAATACCAACATGACAAAGCTTCCCTGTATGTCATATTATCTTGACTTGGACAAGGATCAGTCATTCCTGCATTGTTGTTGATCAAACAGCTGGAACTCCCAGTCTAATGGCATTGTAGGAGCACCTGCAGCACACAGAACACACTGGTTCAAGGTGGTCAGTCACTATCACCATTTCAAGTGGTAACTAATATTTGGCACTAAAGCTAGCCTTGCCAGCAATACCTTCAAAGTCATTTTTTTAAAAAAACCCACATCAGCATATACGAGACAGGAAAAAGCTGATGAGATTCCCTTGAGCCTTGTCAATATTTTAATGCCATTGTTTTGTATTGCAGGTGGTTACAAACAGGCTACGTTATGATATGAATGTTACACAGATATCGTCAACCATTTCCGATCAAAAGCACAGAGGTATACTCCTGTACTCACCCTGAGAAGTCAGCAGACCGTTCTTCACCATCAAACCAATAAACTCGGATGATCTGACACATGGTCAGATAGGCCATTGCTATCAGGAAACTGTACCTGAAACAACATATTAAAAACGTGAGCCAGATGACATACCCTCACTATAGCTGCTGCTATAGGTGGTCCTAATGTTCTAATGCATCAACCAGCAGCTTACATTCACCAATGCTCAATGCTGGTGAAACCAATGTATAGCCATGAAAGCAGAGCAGATGACACACGGTCCATGTTCACCCAAGTTGCTGGCAATAACAAGTGGAGGATTCTCATAAGGATTTCAGGACCCTGATTATCAGATCCAAGCCAGCCCACTCTTGTATCAAGTAGAGATTTGCTGGGAACCCAATTAGCAGTGCACCCATTCTCTTGTAAAGATTGAGTGTGAGAAATCAAAACCGAGACTCATTTCCTCTCTGCTCTTTATTCCAATAAACACCAGCCATCCTTGGCCTCGTTTCTCACCCAAAAACTCCTGTGCTGTGGCCTAATGTATTCATATAAAATCGGACATCCCAGAGAGTTCACAAATTGCAGCATCTAGAATGTACATTAGGAGAACATTTCAGCAGCTATGCTAAAATGCCACACAGTGCACTAGGTTGTTGACTATGTATCTTTGGGTCATATTTCAAATCCAGCCAGGATTGACAGGTTGCAAGTTTCACATTTATTCATTCTTGTGTTTAGGGCATCGCTGGTAAGACTGTAATTTATTATATACAAGTAAGTTAACAAACATGACTGTTTCACTTGGCTTTGTAATAGGATAGTTACGCAGATTAATGTGGGACTAGAGTCATAGGCAGGCTGGGCAACGAAAAAGCAATTATTTCTGAATGGGCAAACAAAGTTTAACAATACAACACAATTACAGATTATAAACTACATAATGTCATGCCCAAGACAGGGACATTATGAGCCTTCAGACAATACTGTCACAACTGCAAGCAAACAGATGATTAAAATAGCTGCATGTTACAATTAGCAATGAAGCTACAAGCACACTCAGTCTCAGCCAGAACCACACTTTTTTCCAACTTAATGGAAAGTTTTATCATACCATGACCACTTCAATCAAACACTTATCACTTAGGCACATAATCCTGGCTGGGTTTCAAAGGGCGAGAATTTTCGGGTGGTGGGAATGGTGTCAGTGGGGAATGCATCTCCACAACAGCTCCATAGCATTTCATCTAAGGAGTGCTGATTGAATGAGACAGGAATTCCACCCTCTCACTCAGACATCCCACTTTGGAGAGTTACCAGGTCACTTTTGAATGAGAAGAGCTCTCACAACAACACTGCAAGGAAGGGCCTGAGGAGGGTGAGGGGAGGGGATGGAGGTCTTGATGGAGAGGCTATTTGGTGAGGGAGCATCTGAGTGTTTGTGTGACAGGCCTTGGGGCAGCTGTGGGGGTGGGGGAGGGAAGGATTAGCTGAAGTGGAAAGGGGCTTCTCAAGGGAGGTACACCTACCTTCCCACCCGAGGCCTGAGCAGGTGACAAGCCAGGTTTCCCCAAATTCCTGCCGAGGTAAACCTGTTGCAGGTAGAACTGCAGATTGATCAGGGACGGGTGGGAGAACCATTGGGAGTTTTGCAGTTTACAATCCCCTCCCCCACCTTCTGCCAATCTGCTGGCAGGGTGTAGTAAATTTGTACACAGTGTGGTACCTTTGTAGTGCTGCATTGTCAGAGGAACTATCTTTCAGCCAAGAAATTAAGCAGAGGCCCTTCCTGCTCTCACACAGAAGGTGTGCTGTTTACAAGTTCTAAACAACATTGTTTTATACAATTTTAACACTACAACTTTGCTTTTCAATTCCAACACTTTAGAAATGAACCCTTTTCTATAGTTAACATTACTATGAAGAACCTACAGTGATGAAATATTTAATATTCAGTGGTGTAGCAGCATATGCTTACTGTAAATCTACAGTAGTATTTGCTAAACATAGGCTGCACAGCGTTAGGAAGCAAAGTGTTACAACTTGGATTTTTATCCTACATTTCTTTCAGTCAAAAACTACAATTGCCCACTCACAGAGTGGGCAGTCACTCCCTACGCTAACATTAACAATTACCCTTTCACATTTTCCAGTGGAAAATGTACAGAATGCTTACATTGCAATATGTATACATTTTGCAGAGTTTCATTTTCATTGTGACTGGGAAGGAGAAAATGATATTTAATGAAATAGAGAGTGATAAGTGCTGGGAGGTCCTGTGAGAAAAAGAAACCCTCCAGGAAAATTTCCAAACAGAGCCAGCAACTATAACCCCTGAAGCAGATGCAAGATTAACTGAGGTCTTAAATCTCATGTTGCGAGCAGTTTTTGAACATCAGGACTTTCCATTGAAATGTGGTCAGCCTTCAACACCACAGGAAAACATTGCAGAAATGGGGCAGGTCTATGAAGATTACAGTTTGAGTCTTTTGCAGTTTGTAAGTAGTGTTATTTACACAATGAATCCAAGAAACTTGCTGCGTAGGATGACATTATTTGGCCTATCGTACCTATCCTAACTCTTTGAAAGAGGAGACATCCTTAGTCCCATGTCACTGCATTGTGTCCTCAGGCTCAAATATTGGGTCCAACTCCCTGTGGAGTCAGCTTCCACACACCTTTTCGAGCAGAATGTCTTTTTGAGTAAAACCAATTCTCTTCATCTCCCTGCTAAATATTTGGCCATGGCCTTTATAATTCTGGTTCTGTATACATGGGTACATCTGAAGGATTTGTTTATCTTTATCTATTACTCATTGATTCACTTCAGATTAACATAATCTCAACCCGAGAATGGTTTGAACACAAGCAGTGAACACCACAGAGTCTGGTGGAACTAAATGCCCATTGTTGTTCCCAGGTACTTGCCAACCTGCCCATGAATTTTCTAAGAACTTAACTTGTAAAACTATCAATAAGTTTATTCTCCTCAGAACACATAAGAGATAGCTCCATTGACTTGACAGTTAGTTTGCAATGCAGAGTGATGCCACATCTGATTCCCACATCAGCTGATGTTAACATGAAGGACTCACCTTCTTAACTTTTCCCTTGCCATGACCCTCAGGTTAAACCATCACCAGTCATCTCTCTCTAATGAGTGAGCAGCCCTTTTGTCCAGCAATACTATGGACACTTTACCTTCACGTTTTTTACAGCATCAAGAGACGTTAAAAGTGGTTAGGCTACAGTTTAGGTTACATAAAAAAGTGTGGAGCAGGGAATGGATGTGGTGCATTGAAAACCTAAACATTTCAAAGGTAATCCTCACTACTACTTTCTCACAGTCATTTTTTGAACACAACACATTTGTATTCTTAACTATTAAGTGTAATTCACCAGTACATTACTGTTTCCAAGTTCCTTTCTGTATAAGGTGTGCCATGTCTGGCCTTAATGGAAATAATTTTAGTTGCTTAAGAAAAATTGAATTGCAAATGTGCATTTCATCAAAGCCACTGCATCACAATAGTAAAAAATGTTAGAGGCATGTGTTTCTAATCATTGGCAGTCCTGTAGAGTGGTAGTCCATAAACCCAAGCTCATCCATATGCTCATCCATCCATCTCCTAACTCACACCAAGCTTTGCTCATCATCGCTGCATTTGTTGACTGACAGTGGGCCTGGTATGATTTTAACATTCTCGGCTTTATTTTCAAACCCACCACAGCCTTGTCTCCACATCTTTGTAGCCCTGTCCAGTCCTACAAGCTTCCTGGGTTTGAGTCTAGTTCCTCATCCATACATCTAAATTTTATCAAACCACCTTTGGCAGATGTGCATGCTTGACCTTTGAAACAAGTTTCCTAAGACTCACTATTTCTCCATTATTCTCTGCATTAAGACACTCCATAAAATCTTTCTCTTTACCAAACATTTGGCCACCTATCCTCATAACTCCACATGGGTTACGGCCAAATTCAGCTTCATAAACCAACTGTGGAACACAAAGACATTTTAATACATTAAAGGCAATGTATTGATGTTTCACTGACCCCTCACCAAATCTAGCATAAATCCAAACCCAATCCACGAGTCAAGTCTAAAGTCATCGAAAGTCACTGGTGTATCCTACTCGAGAGAAATTCAAAACCTATCCTAGAGCAGTTCCATAATTGACCTCCTTTTCCTTCATTATCCAGATGTAGCTGCATTGAATCATATAAAAGTCTATTTTGGGGCATCTCTAGTAAAATGCAGTAGAAACTCAGCAATCAAATCTGTTCCCTGCATTTACCTGCCCCAAATGAAGCAATCTTCCACTAAGAAGCAAATACTTGTAAATTGATTGATTGATCTTAAGTTATGAGAGAATCTTCAACTACTGTTGATACCAATCTTCTGTTGAGTCTTCGACAATCCAAAGCCCTCAAAAGCTGAACAAAGTTTTCTTTTTACGGTCAGTGGCCAAGGAGTCCCATTGCTAACTCTGTCGGTGACATTGGGAGACCTTCACCTACACAATTTGCAATTGCCATCATAGCAATTTTCCACAGATACCATGACACCAGTTTGAACAAACACAGAACACCCTAGGCCAGTTTACAGAGAGGTTAACTGCACCATAGATGGGGGGAAGTAGTACACTTTGATCTTGTTCCCAACATCAAGGCTGCATCATAAAAGCAGCATTAACATCTTCCACTCATGCACACAATTCCTAACATTACATTTATGCAATACCTATTTTATATAAATCTGTTAATAGGGAAAGGTGATTTGTGGCCTCACTGCACTAACTCATTAAGACTTCTTGCAGTTTGTGAAGTAAACTGGAGCCGGTCTTGATGTAGGCAGTGCATCTTCATTGGCTGCAAGACAGAGACCTGACCTTGAAGGGAGTGATATTATTTGTAATATAACATTTCAAGGCACTTCACAGGACCATTACAAGACAAAGTATGACACCGAGCCACACACACTGTATGTTGTGAGGGTTTTCAATACAGGAGCAGGGATGTCTTGCTGCAATTGCACAGGGGCTTTAGAGTATTGTGTGCAGTTTTGGTCTCCTTATCCGAGGGAGGACGTTGTGGCTATACAGGGAGTGAAACAAAGGTTTACCAGCCTGATTCCTGGGATGACAGGATTTATGTACACAGAGAGACTGGATTAGTTAGGACTATGTTCACTGAAATTTAGAAGAATTGGGGAGGATCCCAGAGAAACCTATAAAATTCTAAGATGATTAGTCAGGGAAAATCCAGGCAGGATATTGCTGATGACTAGAAAGTCCAGAACCACAGATTCACAGTCTAAAGATATGGGGTAGGTCATTTAGGAATGAGATGAGGGGAAATTTCTGCACCCCGAGAGTGGTGAGCCTGTGGAATTCTCTGTAACAGAAAGCAGTCAAGGCCAAAACATCGAATGTTTTCAAGGAGGAATTAGATAAAGTTCTTAAGGCTGAAGGGATCGAAAGGTTTGGGGGTGAAAGTGGGAATGGGATAGTGAGTTGGAGATCAGACATGATCATATTGAATGGCAGAACAGGCTCTAAAGGGCCAAAAAGCCTACTCCTGCTCCTATTTTGTATGTTTCTTTAATTTAACTGATATTTCATATTTAATTAAATATTAGGTCAGATTGTCTCATAAAACTTGGTCACAGGTTAAAGGGTGTCTTAAAAGGAGGAGAGGGAGGGTTGAGGTTGGATGGAGGAGGGCAGCGGCGGGAGCGGGGGTTGGGGGTGGAGGAGGGGTTCAAGGATGGGAGTGGTTTCCTGAGCTCAGAGGCTCCAGGCAGACGAAGACATAGCTTCCAATGGCAGACCAATGACAGGGTGGGGAGGTGGCTGGTAGGAAGGGGTGCTCGAGAGGCCAGGATTGGAGATCTCTCAGGATATGACAGAGACAGGAAAAGCTGGTCAGGTTGTATGGAGGGGTTGGCTGGCACAGAAGGATTGGTGGGATTTGAAATATTTCAATTTGAATGTGTCAAATTCGAGCTGCTTGCTAGACCATTTACAGCAACTGTTCTCCTTGGAGAGCGGAAAGCTCAGAGGGGATCTGATAGTGGTTTTCAAAATCAGGAGCAGGCTGGACAGAGTACATAGGGAGTAGCTTTTCCATCTTGTAAAAGGAACAAGAACGAGAGGATGTTGGATTTAAAAGGGACGTGCAAGAGGCCAGGAAAAATGTTTTCACACTGAGTAGTTAGGGTCTGAAATGTACTCACTGGAAACGTGATGGAGACAGGTTCACAAATGAGGCATTCAGAAGCAGCTTTGGATGGATAGAGATGGTCTGCAGGGATGTGGGTAAAATGCAGGAAATTGGCCCGAGGGGATAGAACCAGTGCAGGCACAATGGGCTTAATAGCCTTCTTCTACACTGTAACAATTAAGTGACTCTGTGAAGGGATGATACACAACAGCCAGAACTATTGGACTAAAGACAGGATAGCAGGGGGTGCAGGCTCGGGTAAGTATAGCAGGGTTTGTGGAACAGCAGGTTGGCTCGGAAACTATTGGAGAAATTGGTCAAGATGTAAGATATGGATTCTGCTTCACAAGCAATAAAGTCCAGGGCACTCAAAATGCAAATCTGATCTCAACACTAGTATTTAGCCAGTGGAAACATGCCTGTGGTTTCTCAAGTATGTCTACTGGCCTCATCGCTCAGTGAGTCCACTTCCTAAATGAAGAAAGTACTGCACATTCTCCAACAGTTTTCCATTCAGTATCACAGGATTTGCACAGAAAACAGGCAATACCCTCGCCGCTACGTTCCTGTGGGAGGATTGATGGATCTCTCAAAACATTAGTTTCTCTGTCCCAAAAAGACATTTCAAATGCTTAACAACATTATGGATAAAACAAAGAACTGTCCCAGCAGATCACTCGATAATGTAGTAAGGGTCACAAGATTCCAAGCAATGGTAATGTAGGGGAATGTGTCAGCCAATTTACACATGGCTAACCCATTCACAGCACCTCTGACATTGTAGCATTCTCTCAGTACTACACTGAAAAAAGCGTCAACTTACAAAGTGTGCTCAAGTCTTTGGAGTGGGATTGAATGAACAACCTTCTGTTTCAAAGACAAATGTGCTACTTGTTGATTATAGGGGTGTTATTGGCCCCAACTCTTATGGTTAAGTAAGAAAGGCAGTGTGCGGATCATTGAGAAAGATTTTTGATCGTCATGTAATGACATCTCATAGCAATGCTTCTGTGCGGACAGGAACAGGCTCACCTTGTTCAGTCCCACCCCATAATGACTCATGGTTAAGGAACCCACTAGCGCTCATCATTAAGGTTTAGAAATGAGTGCCAGGCAATTAAGCAGATGACTGGCACCAGTACATTCAGTAATTGGTGATGCTTCATGAGACCGACACATCAGCAGTGAAACACAAAATCAAAAGTTTATGATTACGACATTAACACCTACTTTAATCCAAGACCACTTAAAAGAAGTTAAATGACCAAGAGCTACCTTGATCAAATACTAGCATTACCTCAGAGAAAATGAAATGATTACTCACTTGTGAATTTGTTTTATGTGCACAGTCACCATTACGCAATACAATAGAATTACTTCTCCCACAAAGTAAACTGTGTATCTAAAATGGAAAAAAAAATCACATTCAATACAAGACATTGACAAAGAGTTAGGTGGCCAATTGATTGATTGTAAAATCATAACTAGGGTATGTGCCAATTGTGATGGCTATAGAAAGAAAATAAGTAATCATAATTCACAACTTAGTTATAGACATGTTTAAAAGTAAACATGAATACGAAATAATAAAAAGGATTGTACAATTAATATAAATTGCAATACACAAATAATTTCAACACATTTCAAAATGCAGGTATCTTTAATTTACAGAATTAAACTAAACAGTCCGTAATTTCAAATTACAAAGAATATCCAGCGCAGACCATTCAGCGTATATGCACACCTATACACTCCACACAAGCTACAAGTAGTCAGAATTTTCTTCATATAGAACATGCTATGTGGCACTGAGGACATTGCTACTTATGTGTCTCAGATGTTTTTCAAAGTACAGACATTTTTCTTTTGTTAAGGCAAAGGTGATAGTTAATTGCTCACAAATGGCATATCAGATGAAAGACCAGTTAATCTGCTCTTCACATAGAATTTATAGCACCATCCTTTTGACTGATATGATCTACACAGGCCACCTCCCACCCTTCCTCCATCTGACTCAAATGCAGCAATCCCATTCACCCCAATACTTCCTGCACAGTAAGTTCCACATTTTTACCATTCTCTAGATAGAGGCCTCTCTCCAAAATGCCCCATCAGCTTGTTAGTCACTATCTTGCATTCATGGCCGGTCCTAGTTTTGATGTCACCCACAAAGGTAAAAATCTTTACATTTCTCTATTCAAACACTTCATTAATTAAATGACGTTTATCAGGTCACCCTCAATCTCTTTTTCTTTTCCGCAAGAATAAAGGGCCCAAGACTTTGTGGTAGTTTCGGATAGTCATACCTTCTCAGTTACGTTACCATCCTTGTAAAAATCTGTGTGTTCCTTCAGTGCTTTGATATCCTTTTCATATAACGACCAGAGCGTCCAAGATTATTCAGGGACAGGAAATGTACAATAGGTAGTGGGCATAAGCTGCTCTTGGACACTGTGAAGGTAGCGACTGATTCTGTTTTGCCTGTTTATTGGGTAGAAAATGCGTTGCATAGGAGAACACCTACTTCAGGGCGTCTCCACCATAGATTGCACAATGTTGGGAAAGGTGACTTTGCTGGTATCTCAACTCACCACTTAGAACATGCATCGACATCAGATTTGAACAGTTATGGATTTAAAACATCACCTCACATATGAAATCCCTATGGTGTGGAAACAGGCCCTTCGTCCCAATAAGTCCACACTGACCCTCAGAGCATCCCACCCAGACCCATCTCCTAAAACCCACCTAATCTACACATCCCTGAAAACTACAGGTAATTTAGCATGGCCAATCCACCTAACCTGCACATCTTTGGACTGTGGGAGGAAACTGGAGCACCCGGAGGAAAGCCACATAGTGTTATCCCTCAGCGTTATATCTCCCAGTGCAACTGAGCAAGTGCTGTATTGTCAGAAATTGTGCCTTTTAGATCAGACAGTTAACATCTATTTGCTATCTCTCAATTGGTTCCAAAAGATTCCATGGTATTATTTTGAAGAAAAGTATGGGAGACCCTTCTGGTGTCTTGGACAATATTTATCTCTCAGCCTCCCTCACTAAAACAGATAATCCAGTCATCATCATGTTATGTCCATGGAATGTGCTTTACACCAATGAGCTGTTTGCTTCCAAAATTAAAACAGTGACTACATTTCATAAGTCCTCATTGAGTGTAACATATTCTGTTATGTCTCAAGAATGTGAAGGCACTATACAAATGTAAATTCTTTTTGTTCTTTTAGATCATAGCAATCTCGCTACCTCTTTTGACCAAGTGTTTTTGCCACTTGTCCTTATAGTGTCTTACGTATCTCCATGTCTAAATGTGTTTGAATACACTCTTGTAAAATGCCTTGGGAAGTTTTATGCTCTGAATAAATAGAAGCTGTCATTGTTGTAAATGCATTTGGGAGCTATGTCCCGTTTTAGTTCTAATGTAAGATATTTGTTTGGATTCTGGTTTATTGCCTTAGTTTATACTTTTATGAAGCTTCTCTTAACGTTGCCAAAATTCATTTCAAGGCCCTGTTGTGTTTTCAGTCAATGGATTAGTTTACTAACCTCAGCATATTGCACTCAAATAACAAATCAGCAAAACAGAATTTGCCACAAAATTAGATCAAAAAAAGTCTCAGCAGAGCAGACTTTCCATGGTCTGGTTGACATTAACAACAAAATCATTCCAATCATGTTAAGGAAAGCCTGAAACAAATGCTAACCTCAGCACTCAGTTCATTCTGGGTTGGTTACAATGTTCCAAGAGAGCACTTGCAAGTATAAAGCATATTTGATGTCTGAAGAACATCCCAAAGTCCCTCTGCAAGTTTTTCAAATGTAGTCAACATTGTAAATGCAATAATCAGCACCTAACTTGCAAGACCCCCAAAAGAATAAGGTTAAAATGACCAGGTATTTTTCATTTATGGTATTGTTGAGGCAAAAAGTATTGGCTAAAATTCCCCTGTTCTTCTTTGAAACAGTGTCATGAGATATTTAAGACCCACCTGATAAGGCAGGTGGGATCTTGGTTTCATATCTCATCTCAAAAGCAGCATCTCTGATAATGCAGCACTCCCTCAGTACCGCACTGGGAGTCTGGGATTTGTGCTTCAGCCTCTGGAGTGGAATTTGATCACATAATTTGCTGACTCAGAGGTGAGGCTGCTGGTCATTGAGCTAATGTTGACATCTCATAAACCGACTGATGTCATAAGCTGCAATTTTATCCAGAAGGACAGACAATGGGGAGAGCAGAGAAGCTTTCCATCTCAGCAAAATGGTGCTGTTGGGACAAGTCACACAGGCCCATGCCTTTGCAATTGGGGATGGGGAAAGTAGCAGGGATGGGTGGTAATTTTCACATCTGTGATTAACAGGGGCATCCAGATGTTTTCGTCTATAGCTCCATACAGCTGAACAGATTTCGACCAGAGGTATTTCCAAAGCATGACATGGTAGAGGAAAAGCTAAGCTTTGTGTTCTTTCAAAAGATGGCATATCTTTTTGGGAGAGGAAAGGTGCCTGTTTTGATAGGTCCCAGGACATTTTTCAAAGAGGCAAGGCACCCTTCAGGAAGGGCGAGGTGTTCTTTTGGATTAGTCAAATGCCCTTTGGGATTGTTAAAAGTAGACATAGACATGTTTGAAAAAAATTTGTGTAACCTAACTGGAACTATCAAAGGGAACTGTCATCTGTCCATTAAATAGTTTATTTCAAATATCTGTAAGTATTTACAAATTTCACTCTGTCCATCGACATAGGCTTGAGAGTTGTCGTCAGTATTTGATTTTTGGAAATCTATTGTTGTCATAGTGGGGTGCCTGTCAGTTCACAGATTGGTTGACAGCTCCAGTTGTTTATTGGTGGGATTATGAAGAGAAATGCTTGCTTGTAAGGAAATTCAATGGAGTTAATAGATTTTTTAATCAGAGTGTTTCTTTCAAGAAGTGAATTCATAGAGAGAGAGAGACAAGGAGTTTATTTCATATTTTAACAGTTCCTTCTAATCCCACAACATGTACTATTTAGTTGAACAAAGGGTAACAGACCTCTGTTGATGAATCATGCTTCCTTCAGTCGTCAATCTCTCAAAATAGTTTTCTGAAAGATTAGTCAGAAGACACACAACCCATCACTCTGCCACTCCACTGATAACTGAGGAGGATACAGATACGACAAATAAGATTGGGTCATTAAATTCTGTGGGATGGTGTTGATGCTGGGAGGGGATGGGGCATGGGGGATAGGGCTGCTGTTAGTAATATTGATAACATTGGGCATATTCCGAAATACTTTGTCAGATGGCTTCCGTCTTCCATCTAAGAAAACAGCACTTTCTTACACAGTCACCAATCAAGGAGAAATGAACAAATAAAAAGTTTTTTTTCAATGCCTGTACAATTTTTCTCCTTAGCTATGCTCTAAGCAGTGTCCAGGAGGTTTTTTTTTTATTTCTGGAGACTCCATGGCAATTCCTTGGGGGTGGATAGCACTATGAGGAGTGAAAATACATGGGTGTGTGAGGTTGAGGGAGAGGGGGTGGAGATATGAGATAATACAATGATACAACACACCAATGACTTATGCCAGAGAATGGATTATAAGATTTGTCCTTTTGCTTTCCTAGGAAGGCCTTAGGTACAGCACCACCAACCCCCACCCCCCCCACCCCCCAACCATGAAAGATAGAAGTTGCATTTTTATGGCAGCTTTCGCAATCTCAGGGCATCCCAATGCGTTTTACAACTAGTTGCTCCAGGAGCAAAATGTTGCGCAATTAACATTTGGCAGCAGTGCAGGAGGGTGGGAAGGGTCAGGGAATGAAAAAAATACATTTCGGGTAATTGAGAAAGGAAACTGCTTCAGCAGCTGCTTTAGTGAGCAGGATGACAGATGTCAGGAACCACAGCCAAGCCTACACAATGAGGTCAGCTAAAACTATGTAGCCAAGCAACAAAGCAAATAAGCAACGAGAAACCACAACAAACCTCAAAGCCTGTCATACATTTAAACAAGTGATAAAACATATTCTTTTACACTACACAACATATACACACACTCCTATATCTGTATGCATGTGTATACACATGTGCATATACACGCGCACATACCAACATACAACTAAAAAAGTTTGCAGTCCAAATTTTTTACTGCTGTTTCTTTTGTTCTGATTCGATTAAGATGGCTGTATGTCTTAAAGTCATAGAGTCATACAGCATGGAAACAGACCCTTCGGTCCAACTCCTCCATGCCAACCAGATATCCTAAATAAATCTAGTTCTGTTTGCCAGGATTTGGCCCGTATCCCTCTAAACCATTCCTATTCATATACCCATCCAGATGTCTTTTAAATGTTGTAATTGTACCAGCCTCCACCACTTCCTTTGGCAGCTCATTCCA